AAACAAAACAGCAAAATGAATTATTAATTTTATCGTTACATGTTTTTTGTTGTAGATGTGCAGGTTAGTAAAGTCCTGATAAAGACTGTTGGTGTTGACTCTGAAGATGAGTACCGCTAAGGGTATCGTCATATCAAAATTTCAGTTAATACCAACATCAACAGTCCTCATCATGATTGCACTAACCCTAAATTCATCGTGTTTATTTGTGCCATGCATAACAGACATAAACAAGCGTTAATCGATGCACGCAAGCGTTATATTTAAAGATACATTTTTGATACGCACAGTACGAAAAATAGTTTAATAGTTACTTAAACGTATTATGACACCTTTTCCATTTTTTACACAACTTATGTATTTTTTAACAGACATAAACAGGTTGAGAAAGTGAACTGGGATTACACTGAATTGAATAGAATGAAAATGAATATCCAAAACACAAATAAAAATATCATATTGGTACTAGCAGGATTGATGGTCATCAAATTTTCCCTGTTTTGCAACAACACCGTCGAAGCGAAGCCTATCAGTACCAAGAACACGTTTAAGTACGTCAATTTAATAACTGAAACTGGAAAATATCTTTGCTTCAAAAACAACCATATCACGGGAGAAAACTCCCACAGTCATCATGGTAAGTTATTCTATTGCTACATATCCAATACGTTCAATAAATAATGATGAATACAGCGCAAAGTACAATCATTTAATCATCAAATTTCTACGTATTTCTAACGAAGAAAACATAAGGCACATCGCGTATGTACAGAAAACGTATCTTAAATCGAAAAAATCTCGTACCTATGGCATACCGGTCAATATTTTTTAAGGGAGTGTCGGTTAATTTTAACCCATAATAACCTAGTGTTCACCTACTATTTAGCCAACTTTCCATAATACTCAGCGAATATTACTGTACTGGTCTTTTCATTCAACAGTCAGGAAGGCTCCCCTCCTCCACTGCCCGATATGCCTCTGTTCGTATGTCTGAAAGCCCCCGCCCTCCCCAATACGTACCAAGAATTGTGTTATTTACGTAATAAGTAGCGAAGCCATAACGATTTTCGATTGCTGTGGTAACATTCTTGTGCTCATTCAATGTAAAAATGAGTCAAATTAGTTTCTCAAAGAAAACTATGCTAATTTTAATGAAAGTTTCGTCACAGCAGAAGTAAAATCATGACTTCGCTGCCGTTGTGTACGTCTTTTTTCAACATTGTCGTGATGTAACGAATTAAAAGTGAAAATTCTGATGGCTTCAACTAGACTTTTCTAAATATTCCAATTCATTTGCTGGTTTTTATTAAGAAAATACAAAAAAAACAACACAAAGAACTGTCGAAAATTGTTGCTAAGGAAATCAAAACCTTAATTGTCAATTATTTTGCAGCCAGTTTGCAATTGACCGTGCCGCGTGCATAAATTAAACTTTCTATAGTTTCAAAAGTTGATGTTACTAACGACCATATCATTGTTGCTAAGATGTAACCCTGAGATATCATTGGTAAATAAAAAAGTGTTGTTGTACTAGGAGTCAACGACAAGATCATACTATATCACACCGATACAAATTCAAAGTCAAACACCTAACAAATAAAACTTTATCGCCTTTTCAAACGTCCTTCCCACACTTGTTAAATTTCAACATGTTATTATTGTTGATCATATTTATTCTATAACAAACTTTTAAAATAATTTCTGAATGCCATAGGGTCAATTGCAAATAGCTGCGTAATAATATATTTTCACATATAACTATTTTTGTCGTTATTTCGTTTCCCGCATTGAGAGAAGGCAAACAAACTATAAAAAACTGTTTTTAAACAAACTGAAAATCGTAATAGATTTAAATGAAGTATGTAGCTAATAATAACTAAAATTGTAATATGAGATTTATCAAACTAATAAAATTGTTTTTTCCATGACAACAACGTATAAGGGGGTTTACGCCAAAACCATTTTTTAAGTTCTTGTACGGCAATCTTTGAAATGTGTAAGAAAGATGACAGACAAGCAGGAAAGTTACAATTCTTTTCATTTTCTAGCAAACCTGAAGAAGCACACCATTGGACTAACAGGGAAAGTAATAATCAAAAGAAAAGGAGCATATTTGGCGATGGACTCAGCAGGCAATGTTTATGCAAGTGTGAGTATTTTATTACTTTAATTACAAGAAATAAGATCAAATTGATCATTATTTTTAGCAAAAGCATGATTAAGCCAAAATTACTTCATGAATGGTAACCAATGTATGAAATAATTTTTTTTTCTCGCCAATAGAAACAGAAAACAACTGAAACTGAGTTTATTGATGTGAGAAAACCAAATGATAGTTACCTATACATTCAATCAAACAAGTATCCCAAGCTATATCTTAGCATCTCCAGTAATGGTTCAGTCAGTGGCACCAGCAACATAGGACAAGGTGATACAAAATTTGCAGCCTTGGCATTTTAACAATTTGTAAATATCAACCCTTACTATATTCCAAAGTTTGAATACCATCAATATTTATATATTATATATTGCATTAGTAAAATATTTATTGTATCAATAATTTTATTTTTGTCATTCATGTATTTTTTATATGAAATAGATTGTGAATAAATAATTGCTTCAAATTGAAGCTTTTAAAATTGTTCTCAGGTCATTTATGGAAAACCAGTACTGATTAGTTATCAAAGCCACTTGTGTTTTGTGTATTTCTACATGGATTAAATGCCTGATAATTTTGAAGTATTTGGAATACGAAATGTAATCCAAATGACTACAAAAACCTTAACACAAAGCTTTGCACACAATTTCCAATAATAATGTTTTTTGTTGTTGTTGACTGACGTTTCGACAACCTTAGCGGTAGTAATCTTTGACTCCTTAGGCGCGAAACAGTGCTGCCACTCTGTGTATGCACATTTTACCTACCAAAACTTTATTTTCCACCTACTTCTCCCTGCGATGATTTTCTTTGTTTTCCCCTACTTTTCCCATACACAGCAACATAGCCCTCTATTATATACCTACGTCGGATCATTGAATTTTTTAGTCTGTTTTAAAAAAATGCATACAAAAAAAGATTTATTGAAAACTAAGAAAGAACATCTAGACGACAAAGTTAGTAATTTGGCGTAAGAAGTAATGACATGCAGGTGGCACAAATGACACACTGAGTTTAAGTTGTTGATCTTCGATTGCCATGTATGGTCACAACATGATTGGTGGCCCAGGCCGGGCATGAAATATGATCGTCTAGTTCCAGTTTTCTTAAGATGTAAAATAACGCAAAATTTTTATCGATTCTATAAATTGGCCAAAACTTGCGCATTTTGTTTTACAAAATGATTACATTTAACCGTTTTCTGTTCAAAATAACTGATCTCGAATTAAGGCTTGATCAAGCATCTGGCACAAAAGTTGAAAACAAAAAATAAGGAGCGCCGCCATTACTAAGGGACCAACTTTCGAAAATAAGGAGCAAATATATTGTGGATTTATTGTTGGAGAATTGTTGGAATCATAGTTCAGAAGTACGAACTGATTAAATAATCTCATTTACGATCATAAACTGGTCAATCCTTTAAAATTACAAGCCTTTTTTACGAGTGATTCGGAGTGAAACCTGTATGCGTTTTGTTTTATACGGTCGATTATTCTTTCTGACTCGCTTTACTATGGCCACAAAGGTTGTTTTCATCTTCTGCGTTATCTTAAAGCATGATTTGGCCATGTGTTGCTACGTTTTCCATAGTTTTGTTAAAAAATCTTTCGATGTGTTGGTCGCTTAGTACGGCGGCGGTGGCTTAAAAATTTGTTTACTACAAAAGTACAATTATAGTTGCTTGATCCAGTCTTTTTTCGAGATCAGTAGTTCAGGTAGTCGAGTATGACGTCATTTGTGATTAGAACTAAGAAAGTGGCCACGAGTCGCCTTTTAACTGGCAAACAAATTGGTTTTTCCTTCAGTACTTGAATACTTGAAAGTCAAGTTGTTGCAAATATCAGGCGTACACGATCTAAAGGATTGAAGAATTGCTATTGGTTAGCTTACGTCACTTACTAAAATGATGGCTGATCAAAAACAATAAACATTCTTCTTATATATAGGATTGTAAATATTCTACTAGTTTGGTTGATATAATTTTTGAAAACTGTAAAATTATTGATCGTTCTAACTACTGGTTATTATTCATAGAAGCCTATTACATATTCCCATTCATCGTATCAATCCTACACTGAACCATGGCAATTTACCGTTTATTATCAAATGACGTGTAGAACGTTTAATCACGAATTTACAATTTTTAATTTAAGAAACGTTCACATATACTACCAGTTATGACGTGGCAAGCTAATGTTACATACAGATCGAGGTATTGTTTCCGATCTGATGAAAAAAAATGTTATGGATAAAGACAATCCAAAATCTATCGTAGATCATCGACATGATCAATCTGTTTTACCTTTTTTTTAAAAAAATGGGGTCTGCAAGCATTTTGAGATGCAACTCAGTATGCTGAAAATATTTCAGGAAATTAAAAATAATGTACAATCAAATAATTTTTGAAAAGCTCACATATTCTACCGGTGATGACATGTAATACTTCGAAGCGCTTAGGCCTGTCCAACACTTCTCGAAGCGCTTAGGCCTGTCCGCTGAAGCTGGGGTAGCTAGCTTTGCTGGGATCATTTCGCCTCATATTTTTTATAATGATTTTGAAATTTCGTTCATATGAAGAGCGGGCCAGCCCGACTTGGTGACAACATTTCAAGCGGGCCAGCCCGGCTCATATGAATGAGAATAAAAAGTGCCCGGCGAAATAGCTTGCCCAGCTGAAAATAAATGTTTACTTTTCACGAATTGTTTTGTATTTTACTAAGTATTAATATTTGGTTCCAGCCGTTATTTTTTATGGTTGATTAATTGCGTTAAGATTTTGTTGTAGAAGACGAAGTACAAATCAATGTTAAAAAACCGGGCTTTTTTCTTTTCTTTTTTTTCAAATACTTCAACCGTTTTTACTAAGTCTTTTTCAATGTCTTCATTTGCGCATTCAGGGTAAAATTGATGTAAAGACGCCATTATTCTTGCAGATACTGTGAAATAAAAAAAAACAAATAATTTTCTGACGTCAATTCCATTTAAAACTTTTTAATTAAAATGCAAAATACTTCACCACAAGAAGTGAAAAGGACTTTCACGGACAAACTCTCGATTTGTATTGTCTTATCTTATATACGCCATTACTATAGACCAATGTTTGCTATGGAACACTACTTCAAAATATGCGGCAATATTCTCATGGCTACACAAAGTGCACAGCTACATTATTTTTCTTCTTTTGGTTTATGCTTGTTTATATAATGGTTTATCACGGGAAAATAGTGTATAAATTTTCACACACAAATATGTTGCCTGAACCACGGAACGCAAAAGAAGAAATGAATATGTTGCCAATAGTACGGAGCGAATCGTTAGAATGCAAAGATTTAATAAAAATTGCAAAACAGATGTTGGAAGGTGTGAGAATGCCGTTGCCTTTGAAAGTGAGGCAGTGCGATGGAAATTTAGAACAAGAGCCACTAAAGTGAATGCAATGTATGGGGACAACCTTACAGAACAAGCTTCAGAGATCGTAAAAGTACGAAACAAGTACAATGTAACTTCGAAGAAAATAAGCCAACGTAGTTTTATGTTCACATATGGTCATAGTTGTTGCAACTTCTCAAGAAGTCGAGCAACTTTGAAAGCAAAAACAGTTGGAGGATTTGACTATGTAAGTTCTTTTGACTTAGATGCAATATCAAAAGGCTTTCAGAAAACACATCACAATATAATTAGTGCTCACCAAGGGGCTGGTTATTGGATATGGAAACCTTATCTACTACTTAAGATGTTGACATTGCATATGAAGCAAGGAGACATAGTTATGTACCAAGATGCTGGGTCGTATTTCATTCGATCTGCTGGACCTTTACTAAAACTATGTGAGGATTCTGACGAGGGTATCATTGTGTTCAGTCTTAATCATGTGGAACATACGTTCACTAAACAAGACACTTTTGTACTGATGAACATGAGTATACCAGAAGCAGAGGATTCCTGGCAACGTCTTGCATCATTTATTTTGTTGCGAAAAAGTTGCAATGCTATACAATTTGTTATGGAGTGGCTAGCCTATCTTACAGACAGACGTATTGTTTCTGATGACCCAAATGTTATGGGTAAAGATAATCCAAAATCCTTTATAGATCATCGACATGATCAATCTGTTTTATCACTTCTTTCTAAAAAATGGGGTCTACCAGCATTTCGAGATCCAAGTCAGTATGGCGAATATTTTTCAGGAAATGAAAAATACTTACGGGGACCCTATGATCAAATAATTATGCATGATAGAAATAAATCTTAATAGAGTCACCAGTTTGGTTTATTTGGAGCAAAATTTGACAAATTTAGTTTTTTCCACATCAATAGATTAACGAACAGTGGGGTGGCTAGGATTTTTCGAGTGGGGGGGAGGGAGGTGGCACAAACTAAAAGCCATTTTTGCCGAGGGGGGCATCAAAATTTGTCCCACGTCAGTCGAAAGCGAATTTGCAACATTGATCACAACATAAATAGTTTCAATTTTTTAACTTCTCAGTTAAACTTGAGTAGATTCGTACAATCTTGGCGTTATAGCGTTTTGTAGATTGATTATTGATTCCATTCAAATGTTTTTATATACTCACAGAATTCACAGAACTGAAGTATTTCAATGAGCCTTAGACGTAGTTATTGCTATATGTACACTTTTGTGTCTACAAGTTTCTGTCTATGAGTGTCAGTACACGATCTCATACAAGTTCAGTGATGTAGTTTAATTATGACAAGCATCAAAATATCACATGTTCTTCCTTGCATACTTGAAATATTCTACAAGTACTGTGTTTTTTTTATTTTCAAGCAATAAAAAATTTTACCACTCGGCATCGTAATCATGTCATTCTTGTGAAAAATTATGAGATAAATTATTATGACAAAACAAACATCAAATGAGTATACAAGCGGAAACAGCCTTGAATTCCCGGTTCCTGTGACATTCCAATTAAACAGAACATAATTCAAAAATTAAACGAGACTCACCTTTAAGTCGAAGTTTGATTGTAATTCTTTCTTGTGATCAGGAACACAAGTTCACAGAATCAAACAGAGAATCAAACTTCAAAAGGCATTCTGCAGTGCCCATAGCTGATGACGACAGACATCCAACACTTACATATGTGCATATGGATGCTGCTACTGTGTGGCTTAAGACTTGGGTAGCATATTTCACCTTCATCTTTGCAAAGTTGTTTGGTGCAATGTGCTTATCAGTCAGTTTAGGTGCTGCTCTTATTGACAACTTTTTATCTTTATTGTAGAAATCCACAATATCCTGCCACTTGGCTGTGAACTGGTTGAACTTGAAAGTGTATTTCATCAAATTATTTCTAACACGTTTGATCAGATGTGGTGGATCAAACATCAAATAAACCTTTCTTTGATTGTGCATAAACAAAGGACTCTCTGGACTGATGTTCAGGTGCTTAGCCAAACTTTGAAAATTGCTCCCCAAATCAGACATTACTACAACAACATTCAACCCCAGTGCGCGAATTAACGGTGTGCAATGTGCAATTTTATAAAATTAATCAAAATTGCACATCGTTTTTTCTGAACTAATTCGCACACTGTTCAACCCAATTCCTTCAACTTTGTCAATTGCATCCTTCATCAGCTCTTCCATTTCTTTTCTAGGACATCCTCCATTTACCAATACATAACCAAGTGGTTGCTTCCATTTTCCCGAAATGCTTCTGAGCAAGAGGACAAGTGCTGAATTTGCCAGTTTATTCGTTCTTGTGCCACTTCCATAATCTTCAAGGCCAATTATTTTGTCATTGGCTATATCATAGAATAAGTTGGTTTTGAGAGATATCTCGTCCATACACAAATTACATAATTTCTCATTTTCTCTCATATGGTCCACTTTTTTCTTTATGATATTTAGTGCTCCCTGAGATATTCCAGTTGCAGCTGGCATCTTAGAGATGTATCCGCGCAATGATGTTTTGGAAGGAAGAATGAATACTATCGAGAGCATACGATAGGCTCTTCCACTAGCATGATACAAGGACACAGCAATGGACTTCATCTGTGGTGAGTATCGTCTCCCTTTCTTTTTTCTTTCACGAAGCTTAATTTGCATTTGCACAAAATGAGCAAGGTTTTTAGGCAGCTTTTCCAATGCTTTTTCCAAATTTTTATGTGTTGATGGATTTTTCTTTGCATGCGTAAAACGACTTATTTTCCTTGCCTGGGCTTTTAGTAACTTTTGTTGTTTTTGTTTTCTAGGTGTATTATTGGATAGTATAGCACTTGTTTAGCAAGAAAAATCCGAAGTTTGGCTTTCTGTACTAGGCCCACTTTCATCAACTTCGTGCAATGGTGAATGTGCATCTGGTGGCTCTAAACATAAACTTAAGAGTAATAACTAATTCAAAGTGGTGACCAAAAGCTTGAGATGGAAAATAAAATGCAAAATGAATAACTTTAGCTATAATTACATCTCACCAATACTAATGGTCAAGAATTAGAACTGAAATAGTTTCCCATGTATTTTTGGACTCAACAATGAAATCATACAATAGAACTTCTCATACCATCTTTCCTTTTTTCCTGATCTTTATCCATTTTAGATTTTTGGCTGTAAAATAAATTTGTTAAAATTTGTCTAATTTCATCTTGAAACTAGGTTTGGTGTTTACCTTGTATATGTGATTGGTCCACTCTTTTAATTGTTCTCTGTTTTGTCACAGAATAGATACATATCTATTCTGTGGTTTTGTGCCAACAGTGGGGTGCATTTGGAATGCTAAATAGAGTGGGTTTTGCATCAGTCTTTAATCGATTTTTCAAATCATTTGCAAACATCATATCTTCAAAATGATCAGTGCATAATCGACAATTTTTGTAAAGGTAGTTTGCATCCTTGTTCATAAGATCCTCTGTTCTGCTGAGAATCACCCATTCCTTTGATCTGGAAAGACAAATGACTGGGGTATGAAAAGGTTGTTTTATTTGATTTCTAAAAGCAAAATTTGATTTGTGATTGAAATTTCACCTTTTGGGATCTCTTGGAAATCTAAAAAAACTTAGATGTGGATGTGAATGCTTGCTGTTTGAACAGTTAACACCAGAACAAAACGTTCGTCCTCCTCCTTGTCCTTTATATTTCTTTCCAGTATTATATTATATACTATATAGTATATATTCTGTGCCAATGGCACGAGCAAGCCTGCGAGCAGGCTTTTGAAGACTTCAAAATGGCAGCCGTTTCGAACAGTACTAAAGTCGAACATGATGCAAAAACGAGAGGAATTATTCTTCATATTGTCGAGCAGATCAAAAGCCAAGGTGTATTCGATAGATTTAGACGCGACTGCCTTGAAGAACTTGACAGCAAGGTGACGTACGTTAAACTTTCATGATTGTTTACGAGAATAGTACTGTGGTTTGAATCAATGAAATTGTAGTAATATGTGGAAATTATACATTTAAAAGGAGCCGTATAGACAATTAAAACAGCGAGTTGAAAGTCATGTGGCTACTTTCTTATCCAAGCAAACTTTCAGTGGAAATTTGCCGAAGAATCAACTCCGTACGAGTCTCAGGGCAAACATCAACCAGTAAGTTATTCACTCTTGCTTGAGAGAGTCTTGAATATGTTTGCATAACTGCTGCAAGTTATCAAGGAGAGATTCTTTCACTGTTCAACTATCAATGTGGTGCATGCTTAAGTATTTGCCGCTGATTGAAATATTTTTAAAAGATACTGCAATGCGATAAAGCAAAATAAACAGCTTGGCATAATGGCCTACAAAGTACAGATGTTTACATGATGTGAAACTAACATGCAGAAGTAAAAGTCTTTGAGGTTTTTTCCATAGAGTACAAATAGTTTATGAATGCTATGAAAACTTAACGGTGGGAGGGTCTGCATGAACCTTTGGCGTGAGAACATAATAGAGGGAAGTTTAGCTTGTATTGGCAAAGAAAATATTGCTTTGATATTTGTGCAGTGTACTAATTACACAGAATGCACCCTGACTAACTAGATTTAGGTTGATGAAATTCTAATTATATTGTGTTGCTAAATGATGGATACCAACCCCCTGAGATATTTTAAGGGTTGTAAAGATGTATTAGGCAATGGTTTTATTAAAAAATTATGGTAAGACTGAAAAGTTTGCCTTGCACACCTGATGTCTTGGATGCACAGTTCTCAGAAAAGTAGGTAGCAAAGCATGCAAATTTTGCTACTTGGGCACAAACTTCTTACATTCGATCATATTTTTGACTGTAAATATTTATCCCCAACAAAGTCGGCATGTATTAGATAGAGATTGCCAACATTTTGTACACAATTTCCAGCCAGGAGTATAGTTATAGTGTTTGATTGGATAACAATCCTATTAACTTGCTAAGTAAAAAAGTAGTAAGATGTGAACATATTATCTGTTTACAAACAATAGTAAAAGATGTGAACGTATTATCTGTTTACAAACAATAGTTTGCAAACAGATAATATGTTCACATCTTACCACTTTTTTACTAAGCAAGTTAATAGGTATGTTATCCAACCAAACACTACTAACACATTAATCATACTTTAGCATTTCATTGTTGTTTGTAGTTTGTATTGTTAATGAATGTAAGTTAAAGTTCCTCTATTAGCAAAAGCTTTTATTTGCGATATCAAAACTAGATGTAATTTCTAAAATATCTGTGAAAAAAAAATTTCAATTTGGTCAAATCCTCTTCTTGTCATGGTGGTTTAAAGTTGCTTTTCGAAGAACCTTGTCCATTAGGCATGAAGTCTGGGTCACCCATATTATGACTTCATCCAAGATAGTTGACATATATATCTTGTATTGAGAAATCCCTTGCATGACGTCACAAAAGTAAGTCGTTCCAGACTTTTCGAATGATGGACAAGGTGCATTAAAAGGAGCATTTTATCCAACTTTAAACAGCCATAAAAATGGAACAATTTGACAAGCTTAAAAACATTTTTAACTCATACGTTAGATATCACACCTAAATTAAATATCACAATTAAATTTTTTTTCTGAATGGGCCACTTTAAGGTGTCGCAGCCATAGTAATATAAGAAAAACGTTCACTGCATAGTTATGAGAAGATTGAAATTGTTATCAAATGAATATTGTTAAAATGACAAAGTGAAGATCATTACTTTAAACTTTCAAATAATCAAACGTGAATTTTTTTACAAGATCAGAGGTTTTGTCGAAAGGTGTTGATCGTCTTCTTGAGCAGGTTATGGTGGAGAAAAGTACAAGTTTCTACAAGGATATAGAAAATCTTGTCGAAGGGCATCTTGTAAACATTGGTCATTACACTCGATACGACAAGACGACGAAATCCGATGGCCACGCTCGGTCTGACGTCGTGAAGTTGAGCGACAAGGAAGTTGAAGACATCATACAGGAAGAAACAAACAAACTCTTGGAAGCACAAGAAAGTGAAAAATCTAAAACAGTTGCTCATAGCAGCGGAATAAACACTCCTCCACCCGGAACAAGTGGCGAAGCAATCGAAGTGGAAACTATGAATGAAAATGAAGATGATAAGACAACTACTTATAGTGGCCTGCTTTTGAAGATCCGTACTCCTTTAACTAGCGTTGATAACGTAAACGTGCCAAAGAATTATGTTGTAAACGTGGCTAAGATTGAAGCTGAAAGTACAAGTCATCTCGATGACCAAAATAATCTTGCTATTAAAGAGATCAAAGATGTCACACCATCATCAAGCTCCTCTTCTTCTCATTCAGAAAGCGTTCGAGCCCCTTACTTATCTCCCGAGTCTGTCTCTACTGCAGACACATTACCGTCTCACGATGTCAAGTTAACTGAATGTATCAGTGAATCAAAGCTTAAAACATCTGAAAAGAATGCTGTTGACAAGGCTTGGGAAAAATCACCTGAAGTTCTCTCGATTTCTTATCCTCAAGACAACAATATGCGCGAAATCTCGACTTTAAAACATGAGCTGATGGAAAATGAGGACAAAAGCAAAGATGTTGGGGAAATCCCGGCAGAAAATGTTGATGCATATGAAGCTATTCATGGCACAGTGACTGATGTCAAAGAAGAAACGATCGAGGGTGGTTCAATAGGCTCTAACGTGGAGGCTTCTAAAACAATATCAATGAAATCGGAAAACAGCAAACTTAATATTGAAACGAATCAATCAGAAGTAAAAGCTGACAAAGTAATAAAAGAAAGAAAGTGCGTGGAATCTACCGCTAACGAGCCCGCAAAGAAAGCATCGCAAAAATCATCGTCAAAATCTCTCTTTTTGCATTCTGCAACTAAAGAAAAATCCGAACAGGATTTGTTTACAGAAAGGTGTCAAAAAAAAGAATCCGAGAAAAAAAATATTAAAAATTCAAATGTCGATGATGTGACTGAGTTGTCTGATTCGGACTTTACCGTGAGCTCCGTTCATACGAGCGATCTATCGTCGCTGGAAGACAGTGATATGGAGTACGAGGATTACCAAGAACTCGTGATGAAAAAAAATGAAGAGAAAAGATCTCGTGGTGAGTTAAAAGGTATCGCTGATATTGAAAGAATTAACGAGACTCACATTAAAGAAGATTGTGTAGGAAATCATTCGGTTGCTGATGAAAAAAGGGGCAAGATTGCGATCGATACATACGACAAGGAAGATACGAAAGAAGAGATGGTTCGTGATACTCGTGATCCTGGCTCAAGTTCTTCAGTAAATCACACACATAAAAAACGTAGCGAGGGAAAAGTTAAAAGTCGAAGCGGGGAGAACGAGACTTGCTCGAAGCTGTTACTTAAAGCCGCTCGTGATAAACTTATTGATGAATCGCTTGGAAAAAAGACCTCGGGTCACTCTAATAAAAAGAACAGAATAAAAAATGAAGGCGAGGACGGAAAGGAGAGATCGTACAATCCGAAAGGCGTTAACACAAAGAGACGGAAAGATCGTGACACTAAAAGGAATGAGAATATTTCAAGTAGTGAAGGAACATGCGAGGTTTACGATCTCTTAGATAAGAAAGCTGACGCGAGTTTGTCGATCGCTTCTGGCGAGCAAGGCTCCGACAGAGATGAAAATGTTACAAAGGTGCTAAATGAAAGTCTGGTTACCATGGAAAGCAATAATGACGACTCCAACGCAGAAACTCAATTGGAAAATATGAAAATGAAGAAACGCAATCAATCTGATGAAGTTGTAATGGCGAAGAGAAAGAGCACAATAATTGAATCGGATTGTGATGCTGCCCCTATAGAAACCGATGAACTGGAAACTTACCCCATTACAAATGCCAGTGAACATAAGCAATCAATTTCATTTTCGGAATCTTCGGATGACCTCTGTCATGAAAAACGTACGTTTAATAAATTGGCGCCACGGTCTACTAACGAGTCGGCCGTCTTTGAACCGATTGAGCCCGATAAAACGGCGGTGGTTTGTGTACGAGAAACTTCGGAAGAAAGTGAGCTCTCTCGGCAATTCTCTTGTGATGCAACTTTTGATGATTATGCGTCGGATGCTGAAAGCAATGTTGAAGATACTGAAGTTAGAAGTTTTCGTTTAGGTAAGCGTTAGCACGAACACATCTTTGCGAATAGCTCATTTTTCTTAAGTTTCTTTTGTTTTATTAAATAGGTAAGCGAAGGTTTTCTCGTCAACGCTCAAATGAAACAGAAAGAGAAGAGTCGAGTACTTCTTCGACACCAAGCCAAGAACAAAAAGACGCAGTTCCCCAACGCCGCTCTGCAAGAATTACTTCAAAAGAAAAGACTAAAGGTGACGAAGAAAACATGGAGTCCACTGCAGAATCGTTAAGGAACTCGCGACGCAGTCGTTCTTCTCAGGAAAAGACAATAGAAGTTAAAGGTGCAAAACTAGTTGACGACAAGCAACGTGAAAGAGCCGAAAAACGCTCTTTAAGACTGTCCAGTGATAGCGCGGATAGCGATATTAAACCATCCAAAAGATCCAAACGAGCTGTAAAGCCTACACGATGCTATTCGCCCAGCGAAAATAGTTGAGTTATTGCCTGTCGCGTATTGATTTCACTTTATAAATAGGCAGTCATTTATCAATAATAATGATATTTTCTGTCAATGTGTATAAGACCATGACGAGTGCTGTCTGTTTTCATTTTCTAAAAACGGCGGACAATTTCCACGTGTTGCACACATGTCGTATTTTATCGTTAAGAAAGATGTGAGCGCAACTTTTATACGATATATGTTGAATGAAATTTCTCCAGTGAAGACACGCAGCTGCCATGCACATAGCTAGTATGCCCAAGTGTAAAGTCAAAATATGTATTATTTTGGTGGGGAGTAGAAAAGCTTTTATGAAAAATATTTTCACTTGGTGAATGGGCCTACTACTATGTGCTTGAAGTGCACAAAATTTCCAAAATAATTGTGGTCTTTATGTATTTAAAAACAAATATTTTTTGGAAATGGCTATAAATAAGATAATATTGATATTATTGTTAAGTCTATCTGTGTCATTATTCATTGCACGCTGCAAATTGAGCTCTTTTGCTGTGATGCCTGTCTAGATGGTATTTCATTGTTAGCATATTGAACAACACCAGCCTTCAGTACTTGCTGTGGTTGTTTAGTTAAGAATCAATACAAAATGTGAGTGTGTCGAGGATGATTGATAAAGTTGCACAACCATTTTACAAACTTTACATAGGATACGTTTGTCTTCTCTAGTTCATTTTTTGTCAACCTTATTCCCAGGACATCAGCAGCTATTCTTTGAAAACACATTTTCACCTTAAATATCATTAAATATATTAGATGAAAGTGCCCTTCTCTTGAAATCCATTGTCAAATAAAACCAAAGAATTTGTAATCAAAATAATTATGTCAAAGAAAATTTCTCCACCTGATCTCCAGACTTTGCAGACAAACAGTGACTAAAAATACCAAAAGTATAGCTCTAGCAGGACAATTTTGTTTATATTTAATCCAAACAGATGGAGGAATTGTGAAGAGGGAAACAGTAAGATGTTGTGGTTATTCAATGGATAAGGTGATTGCTAGTATTGAATGGGCAGAATTCGTGGAATTCAAGGAGTTGCCGAACTCTAATAGGTTGTCTCTGAAGGTGAAAGAAATAGTGTATTAAATTGCATCAGGCCAATCATGACATGCAAGAGTGAAATGAAAAGAGTAAGAGAAAAGAATTAAGGCATTGAAGAGTATGAGATTAGGAGAAAAACTAAGTGTGGTAAATCCAGTATCCATCTTCCTTCATAGAAAAATTCGGAACAAAATAGGAATGGAATGAATTGCTTCATTACATATGAACAAGGCAACAACTTGTTAATCTTACCTTGACATTGCATGTTCCTTGGCAAACTTATCATGGTGATTTTGTTTAACAACACGCATGTGTTCCAAATCACCTAAGTATTATTATATACGTATAAAAACGTCAGACATCCTCAATCGTAGAAAATCAAGTTGTGGTTATCACAGCCCATCTTCACACAATTTCTTACCTTTATTGGCTATGAGGGCAAATACAGGCATTGAACTTGGGTCTTTCTCTTTCAAACTACTTTTTACTGTCTCCCACCAGTCTTCAAGATTATCAAATGTGCTTTGATTGGTTATGTCATAAACAAACAGGATGGCCTGCAAATTGACAAACATGGCCGAAAAATTGTAAATTTTCGATATAGGCTTCGTAAAACATTGAGATAAAAATGAAACACATAAATTAGAAATAGCAACGTTATTCACGTTTCGATCAAATCTTTTCCCTCCATACGACCCTTAATGCAACAAAATAATCACCTTTGCTCCAGAGAGATATGTGTCAATCATTTTTCCTCCAATAGTCTGACCACCAATATCCCAGAGTTGAATAGAAACATTTACATTACCTGACAAGTAAAGATAGCTTCGGTGAATTTTTTAAAAAATATGTAGTATGTTAGCCTCTCTCACCTGCTAAAACTATTCTTTTTAAAAAGAAATCCAACCCTATTGTTTGCTTGTATGCCTGATCAAAATTCTCTGAAGTATATCTTACTGCAATTGATGTCTGAAAGCAAAATAAAAGCGATGCCGTTGTTCTGTCACATCCCACATGAAAGCGAGAAAAAATAGCGTTCGAGATTTGATAAGAGAACTTTAAAAGCAAAACATTGAAGGAGAATGAATTAATCGCGCTTCTTCACCTTCCCAGCTGTACCATCTCCAACCAAAACAAATTTAAGCTGGTGTTCATTCACCGCTTCTTCTTCAGAATCGGACATTTCTTTATATTCTTTATTGAATAAGTAGCTCCTTTATTAAAACTCCATCTTCTGCAGAACTCCTGTGACCTTTGCTGTTGCCAGCCGCCATTGTTTGTTACTAAGCAATGAAGAATCGTTTGTCACATTTGTACTGTTATATCCGGTGAAATGTGGAAGGAAGAAATGGAAAAAATAGTACTTTCAAAAGTGTTGTTATTTATATAAACAGTACATAAGCATCGGAATAGTCCTTCTCGATTATGCGTAGACTTGATTATTTTCCTTTATATTAATTCGAGTTGATTATTTAATTTGTTTTTATTAGCTGGAAACAGTTAACGGTAAAGCTTCATTTTACAAAATGCAAGGTGTGTAGTATTACATGGAAGCACTTTTTTATGTCAATTTTTTGACAGATGTTTGCACCTTTCGTTGTTGTGAACTTGCAATTTTTTTGCGTCGACAGCAACTATTGTTTTGACACATGTGTGAATAACGCAATCTTTTATAATATCACAAAGGTAAATTTTTGCATCGTTAATATAGTTTGCAGCCAGCCTCAGCTCGCCACGTCATTTGTCACTGGTCCAGGTGAGCCGACGGCATTTTCTTAGCATGTACGACTATTGTTGATGACGGCATTTAATAAAACGATGTAACAAAACATTTGACGTTCTTTGATAAAAACGAAATCTTGTGATCGGTATGTTAGCATCAATACGTTTTTTTCACTTTTAGTTTCAAATTGCGTCTATTGTATTGAGAAAACTAATGTCGAACGTCGTTGTGTTAATTCAAAAATGGCGAACTCACCCGAAATATTTTGCAGTGGTTTAATTTTGCACAATGAACTCAAATAAAAATAAAACTACAGTTCAGAGATATACTTTTACTTTAACTGACGTATTTTTCGGTGGGCGTGCTTTACTTTTGACTTCAAATTTAAATCGTAAACAATTCTCAAATTTTAAGTTTATATTCATTCGGCCGCAATGACGCAATCGCCGTACTGATTCGGTGCAACTTCGTGTGCACGTGTGTCCTCGACTTTAATGCAACGTCAGCGCCGCTCTCCAAGTGCGAGGAGCTGGGCTCAAATTTCGAAGGATCAAAAAACTCGTGTAGTGTTTAACAGAAATAATAAATAGAGGATGGAGAACAAAGAACTACTAAAAAGTCCACATGGCGTGTTTTTGTAACTGCATATATCGTTTTGATTGAAGTGATGTGTTTTCGTACTTGTAAACAGCAGTGTTTTATTTGAAAACAAAATGCCTGCCAGAAGGAGAACGCAAGCAGAAAAGGATGGAAGAAATTCCTCTGGTAGAAAGACCACTAAGAATTCTTCCATCAAGAACAAATTCAAACGCAAGTTACCTAATGCTTCCACAATGTTTATATTAGCCCTGATTTTTCTATGTACCATTGCCGTTGGCTATATGTGGTGGAGGCATTACGTGAAGAGTAGATTATATACACCAATTGTTGCTAGACGAATGATATCAAAATCTGAACTCGGTGACATGGGTGATATTAAAAGGTTTGTCTTTAAAAAAATGAAATAACTAAATTTGAGACTGATATTCTTTTGTGTGGGTTTTTGTCTTTAGTTGATCTTTCTCTTCTTTTTAAAGATTTTGGGGTTCATATCGATCAAATCTATATTTTGGCTTTCGAACAAGAAGTCCCAAGTCACTCATGCTTGGTTTGATGTGGTTCACTGACCAATTTCATGATGGGAGCATTCATATCAGGCATACTTGTGAGCAAAATGACAAATTGCCGAGATATGGTTGGATAAGGCACGATGGTGTCAACTTTGGTATGCAAGAGATTGTTGATCATGGTTACACCCTGAGCACAGATTTTGTTAAAAGGAGTGGAGGGGACAATGGTGGTGACTGGAGTGCGAGGGTGACTGGTCAGTTGATGGAAAATTGGGGAAGACAGGTGAGGAGTAGAGGAGATTTGTATTTAAAATGTCTATATCAGGGTCAGGGAAATAACTTCTTTAGATAGTTAAATTGATTTTAAGAACATTTGCAATACATTTTATAGGATGAACTGTCATCTTCATGGGGACTTTTGGGCCTAGAATCAGTTTCACCACCTGAAGTGATGTGAGAACACATGCATACCTTCCTGATACTGTTTTCACACCATTTCCCACTAGAATTATATGAAATTATGTGGTGTTTACCCTATACAAAGCAAGCATGAGTAATCACTTCCAGCCTGAGTTACATATTTCCCAAAGGCCCAAAAGGCTTATTAAGATAAAATAGTCAAGCTGTCAAATATATTGCAAATGTTTTTAAAGTCAGTATAACTATCAAAGGAAGCTATTTCATTGACCTTGATGTAGACACTTTAAAGGAAACCATCTACACAAGCGTTTTCAATGCATCCTTTTTACATGAAGTTAGAGTCTCTTTGATATCTAACTTCACTGATCAGTAAAGTTCTTCATGAAAACCATTTGTGATGTTAACTTGAACCATGCATGCTCGTTTAGGATCAGAAGATTAATGTAATGTTCTACATTATGAAAGATGGGCCTGGAACATTGAAGACAGATGTTGAAAACGGAAGGCTTTCCTCAGTCACTGGATATACTTCAGAGTTGGGGGATTTCCGAATTAAGTTTTTTGATGGCAACAAGAACTTGCTTTCAACATATTTGAGCACCCATTTGGAGAAGGTCCATCTTGCTAAAGATGTCGTCATGAAAAATTTACACCAGTTCAAGGCTGGTGCCAAGGGAAATGTTCGACTGCTAGGTCTGCCAGGTCGTCGTATGGGCGGAGAATTCGAGAACAAGGAAGAAAATTTCATAGTGTTCAGCGGTGTGTTTGAATTACCCTTTACTATTGAGATTGCTTTTGAATCAGGTAGTTTTAAAGATCGAATCAATACACTGAAAGGTTCAGTCTTTCAAGAAAATTTGATGAAGTACAGTGACTATTTTGAGAAAGTATTTGAACAGAAGTTTAAGCTGAGGAAAAAGGGTCACAGCACTGATGAGATCTTGTTCGCCCAAGCAACATTAAGTAATTTACTTGGTGGGATTGGATATTTCCATGGTGCCTCACTGGTCACATCTGATCTTATCAAGACACCAGTCAAGTATTGGGAGAGTTCTTTGTACACAAGTGTACCTTCAAGATCCTTTTTTCCAAGAGGTTTCTTATGGGATGAGGGTTTTCATCAATTGCTCATCAGCCAATGGGATAGCACAATTAGTGTTGATGTCATCGGCTATTGGCTTGACTTAATGAACATGGAAGGTACTTATCTAAAAAAATTATTTTACTTGTTCTTTAAGTTCTTCATGTTTGAGCTGATATTTGTTTTTATGTTATTATATCTCATTGTGTACTATTAATCCTATTCTTTCCATACTAAATACATACCATGCTTTTATATTTTCATGTTTTGCATGGATTTCATTGGTGAATTGCAATGAAATTTTCCACAAAGTATAGTTTACCTCTGTGTAATTGTATCAAGGAACATGTTGCGCTTATATTTCATTGGTTGTTTAAGGTTGGATACCACGTGAACAAATTTTGGGTGATGAGGCTCGGACCAAAGTTCCTGCAGAGTTTATCGTGCAGCACAATAAGAACGCCAACCCCCCTGCGTTATTTCTTCCTATCAAGTCTATGCAGGAGAAAGGTCTTTTAGATGGAGACTCTCTCCGTAAGCTTTTCCCGCGCCTTCGAGCTTGGTACAACTGGCTTAATACGACACAGGTTGGGATTGCACCATCGACTTACCGCTGGCGAGGAAGAAACGCGGACACAGACAGTGAGCTTAATCCGAAGACTTTGACATCGGGTCTTGATGATTATCCAAGACCATCTCATCCGTCTGACAAAGAGCGCCACGTTGACCTTCGTTGCTGGATGGCGTTTATATCCGGAGTAATGGCCGATGTTGCTGAGTCTATTGGTAAACGACCACGACGCTACAAGGAAACGTATGAATATTTGAAAGACGAGTCCGTGCTCTCTGCGTACCATTGGTCAGAAGGATCGAAAAGTTTTGCAGATTACGGTAATCACACGAAGTACGTGAGATTACGTCACGTTGCCGAGAAACCAGGATTGCCGACAAGGGTAGCTCGCGTCGTTTACAAAGCGGCTCCCGAGGAGAAGTTTGTGCCGAGTATTGGATACGTGAGCTTGTTCCCATTCCTCTTGCAGTTGCTTGACGCTAATTCAACGAAACTCGGGGATACTTTGAAACACATGCAGAATCCTAAAGAACTGTGGAGTGACTACGGTTTACGCTCGCTTTCAAAATCCGATCCGTTATACGGAAAGTACAATACGGAGCATGATCCACCATATTGGCGTGGAGCTATTTGGATCAACATAAACTATCTGGCAGTTCGCTCATTACATCATTACTCCAAACTCGAGGGTCCCTATCAAACGCTTTGCTTGCAATTGTACAACGATCTGCGAAAAAACATCATCAATAATATTTTTGAGAATTATCGTAGGACCGGGTATGTTTGGGAGAATTATGACGACAAGACCGGTGAAGGAAAGGGTTGTCATCCTTTCACCGGTTGGTCATCCTTAGTGGTACTCATGATGGGTGAAATGTATTGAAATGGTGATTTGAAGTTTTATTTAGTTTCGAATAAATTCATTTTGTTGATGTGTTGTTGAAATGGTTTTGTATGGCTGTTAATGGATGGGAAATTTTGTGGGAAACAGTGTAATGTGATGTTTATATTATTGTGGCATATTATGGTCTTTGGGAGGCATGATGTGGGAAGCAATATTTACTTAATGAAAAGTTTTTTTACCCCACGAGTGGCGTGGTCAAATGTTTAAAGTCTACGAACCAGACGAATAAGCGTTTGACAATAAAGATAGTATTCGGTCATGGTTTTCTATGTGCAAGCTTAAATTTCATAATTTTTTAACATTTCTTCAAATTTTGACTTTCTCAAATGGCAAAGAGCAACTCTCACGTTGCGATGTCAGATCATGCATTACGTGACGACATTTCTGCATTGCATGTTCAGACTTGTATCATGTGTCATGCCCGAAACATGTGCTAAACTCGAGGTAGTTAGAAATCAAAAATAAAAGCACTTTGGTCACCAAGACACATAGATGATGACCATCAATTTTACGCTTGAGATCTCATATAACACTTGTTCCGTTATATTTAACAGACTTGCCATAATTTGAAAGTTTAATCGACGGCAGATCAAGGCTAGCGAACGCAGAAAGGACCAATAGGTTTATATGGCACAACCTGGTACAGAGTTTCGTCGCTTGATACCAGCTCTACTAAGGTGTATATTTTATGAGTGATCAATGGCAGACAAGTTTTCTTTGAACACATCACACGTTCATGTTTGTAAGTACGAATTTCTAGCAGATAACTCGCAATTCCGGTGATTGCAAAATCATCGCTAGTTGGAATAAAATGCAACATGAATTGTCGTGGGGGCTTGCAAATATAATACGATATGAAATACACTCATTGGCATTACACGGTATGAATCGCGTTTTAAAGTAAATACACTTTCATACATTATTATTAGTGAATGCTTATTATGGGCATTATGTTAATGATTGTTTGGAATGCATCGGAATGAATTTTCACTGTTCGATACTCAATAGCAATCAATTTTTTAAATCAAAGCGTTTTTTAAATGTAACACCAACAACTACAATAGTTAATCATGGTTGACTGTCGGTAAGCCTGATATCTGCATGATACAGCTATTTTTTGTCAAGTATATATTGTGCGAGTGCCATTGTTTATCACATTAATTGTATTTGCTTTATATCACAAGAGCAGTAAAGCAACAAGAAATTTTTATCGGAAAAAGAACACGTCAGAGATCTTTGATTCTGTGGACTTTACCAAAATGGGTTTTATGTGGCTTTCACAAAATTGTCTTGTATTCGAACTAAAATCTTTTCAAGTGTTTTCACGTGTCTAATGCAGTCATAAATTCTATCTCAGTCAAACTGTCAAACCTTTTCACTGCTTTGTTTACATTGAATGCACATGCCAAATTGCCCAGCAAGCTAATTCATGTGACGTCTTTCGCCTATTTTCTCATAGTTACTGGCTCTGGTCCAATCAAATTGCTTGATATTTTTATACTGTAACATAACAATAGCACGTCATTTTCGAAGCTGGATAAAGCTTGCCAGTGCAGTTAAAATCTTTCTGCAATAAATAACTTAATCATATGCCGGAATGCATCAGAAGTGTGAATACAAAACCGATGAGCGTGTATTTTCTCCAAACTCTGGACCAATGCAAGATCTATCCTTATTCTTTCATAACATAGGGAAAGCTCTACCTTGCGGTATAGATATCGGTGGAACCTTGGCGAAAGTTGCGTTCTTTGAGTGCTCGGTGAACGGTAATCACAACGTTAATGTTGTAAATGGCATTCATGCTGCATTAGGAGACTACGTAAAATCATCACGTCAATACGGCTCTGAGGGCGAACGTGACGAGAGACTGGAGATGAGGAACATAGAATTGGGATCGAAGATAGGAAACTTGCATTTCATACGTTTCCCGACGTCGAGAATGGACGAATTCTTTAAACTTACGAAAGAGGTGCAGCCACATGAGTTTTCTCCTAAAAAGGTTTACGCCACAGGGGGAGGTGCTTACAAGTTCGACGACGAATTTAAAGAAGTACGTTATGTCTGTTCGGTTTCCAAATCCTGAAATAAAATTCCCTGAAGCAACTTTGGTTTCAAGTATTTTTTCAATGTTGTATGTCCATTTTTATAAAAACCAACGGCCCTGGTTTCTGTTCAATTCTATTCTATCTTAACCAGTGGCGTAACCAGAATTATCATTATTCGTTTCTTTTAACAGTTTCTTTAAAAAGTGAACGCATCCAGTTCTCCACCATTGATCTTATCTATTTCTTCTATTTAATGTTTCGTGCTCAGCACTGTCAACCTTTTGAATTCTCCACCGTTGATCTTATCTATTTCTTCGATTAAGTGTTTAGTGCTCAGCACTGTCAACCTTTTGAATTCACCACCATTGACTTTATCTATTTCTTCTATTTAATGTTTAGTGCTCAGCACTGTCAACCTTTTGAAATTTTTGTAAGCTTTACAACAGAATGTGCAAAATAATTCTCTGACTACCATCGTGTTTCCATATTTAGGCTTTGGATCTGCAGCTGGTGAAATGTGACGAACTGGAATGTTTGATTCAAGGAATCCACTTCATGGACAAAAACTTTGTCGGCGAATGTTACTATTTTACGTTTTCTGACGACGACTCGAAACCTAGAAAAGTATCGTATGATTTTCAATCAGCTTGTCCATACCCGTTTATCGTTGTCAACGTTGGTTCAGGCGTTAGTATATTGGTAGTTCGCTCCTCCAGTGAATATGACAGAATCAGTGGGTCAGCGTGAGTATTGTGTATGAAAATATGATGATACCAATGTCGAGCGGGATTTAAGAACTGTTTCCATCAGCGAATTTGTTCCAAGGCGAGAAATAATATCTTTGCAAGAAGAAGACAGTTGCATATGAATGCTTTCATTGAATGTTTCCCTGTTTTTCTTTTGCTTTTGCCATAGCGAACTTCTTGCGAACTTCTGCTTGATGAGGAAACGATTTTTTTCCTTCGTCACGCGTGCGTACAATTGTTTCATCCAAAAATTTTAGCATTTTGCAGAGAAATTTGTCTGAGAAAATTTTGTGCTACCAAAAGTCGAGTTTACTTAATCATTTATCTGTGGAGACTTGAGTTGTTTACGAACAAGACAATTTCGACAAAGCGCTGTGCGTTATTGTCACAGTTAGGTCTTTTTGTCGCTTTCAGACTTTCAATTTCGTTGTCAATGTTAAAAGATTAGATTTTAAACGGTTAGAATGCCATATTCTTAGAAATCTATAAACTAAATGTTATATTTTCGAATTTGGGAAAACCGGCTCTGATTTTTTGCTATGAACTTGATGGGAAAGTGATGGGAAATCGGTTTTTTTATCCTTATGCCTCTTATACTTGAGAAGTGAGAATTTACAATTTCTTGCGTTTCCCATCTATGTGTAAACTAAAAAGTATCTGTATTTAAAACTAGTGGAAGTAGGTTTACTGGTATTGCTTGATTGGTCAGAGGGTATGTTCTAAAACGCTGACAGCAAAACAATGAAATGAAAGAATTAACTAAATTTTGACGTTTTTGTTTTAGTTTGGGCGGAGGAACATTTGTCGGTTTAAGCTGCCTGCTAACAGGTTGTGAGACTTTTGAGGAGGCTCTGGAGTTAGCTTCTAAAGGTAATAATCATTCTGTGGATAAACTGGTGAAGGATATATACGGTGGAGATTATACGAGATTTGGATTATCTGGAGATGTTGTTGCGAGCAGGTAAGAGAAGAAGGTTGTATAGCTTACACGTATCATAAGTCCCTTTCCCTCTCGATTTTGATGGTCGAGTTTCGGCGCTTTTGCTTCACTTTTATTTTGACGTGGACATGGACGAAATCATTGGGTGATGTCATCTTGTCTTTCATAGTTTCGGGTCGATGATATTACCCGAGAGACGTAGCAACGTGACGAAAGAAGACCTTGCATGTGCTACGCTCATGATGATCACTAACAATATTGGATCCATTGCCAGGATGTGCGCTGTAAATGAGGGAATAGACCGAGTTGTATTTGCTGGGAATTTCTTACGGAAAACACTCTTTCAATGAGTATGCTGGCACAAGCCATGAACTTTTGGTCCAAAGGAACAATGAAAGCATTGTTTTTAGAACATGAGGTATTTCAATTGTGTGATATTTTTTTCCATATTTTACTTGGTCAGTAGTTGATTTACTTTATAAAGTAAAATTTGACTCTATATTTCTAGTTCTACAAAGGAAATCAAGTATAACGAGCGACAGTTGTTGTTACTTACTTATGAAATGCTTTCTTTTTTAGGGTTATTTTGGTGCCGTAGGTGCCTTGCTGCAATCATTGAAAGAGTAGTCTGTCACAACTTTCTCTGTCTACATTATTATGAACAATTCAGTGTACGAGGAGAAATATTTCTTAAGAAAACGATGTCCCTGGATACGTGATTCATATCGCTCGGGGAGATGATCGAAATCAAAATAATTATTAGTTTTCATATCAACTATTGAAATGCGTGCAGTATTCAAACATTCTTAAAATAGGCCTCAGTGCAGCAAGTGTATTTCACACGGCTATCTTTTAGCCGACTCCATCACATCGCGCAAGTGTTTTTTCACGGTCTACTTTCATAATCTAATATTTAGTCCATTATTGCAAAGATCTTGAACTTTCCACAAAATAAACGAATGATGCACTTTTGCATAAATCAATGAGTTAGTAAGATGTACCTGTTTAAAGACTAATTTGAAAGCATCATATCCCTTTTAGAGCAGGCATACTGCTATATGTTTGAAGGGTGTAATGTTTGTGTGATATTCCATCCACAAATCGCCTTACATTAAACTTGGGTTAATGTACTTTTTGACAAAGACTGTTTTCGGAAACGTCATCTTGCATTGGCTCTGACTTTTCTCTCACTGACTTACCGGGGGGGAGGTCGGTAGCTATGATCTCAACTGAGATGAGAGTGCTATAAATATTTCTTAGCGTGCTTATCTCAGTCGCTGTTAACTTTCTTTTCTTTTATAATCACTAGCACCCCGTGTGGATTAACTGCAATGGTATATATCTTTGATTTAATGAAAAACATCGGCATCATTTTGTCATTTAGAACAGTTGCAACTTTACTTAATCACAATTCCCAAGTACTTAAAAACTTTTCACTTGTCGACTCAACTCCTGCCCATGTGCATGCCTCTTCTATAATTATTACAGCTCTCCGTTTTTTGCTGTATAACATGATATTCGTGTCCATACTTTGTATGTTTCCATGACCATTTATAACCACTACTTCCCTGCTTAGAATTATAACATGATCATAAGCTTTCTTTCGATCGACAAGTCTGCCAAATTTCATTTTGTCCTTTCTTGGCACGAAATCAAAGTGCTTAGGATCTTTTTTTGCAACTCTCGTATTCGTTTATCCGACATTGTTTTCCAAACTCTTCAATCCGTGCTTCAATGATAGGATTCCTCTGTAGTTTCAGAATGTCCTCTTTCTTCATTTTTTTTTATTCCACGCTACATTTAGAAAGTCCGTCATCTAGAGAAAACATTTCTCACCCAGGCTTCTCTCAACACATCAATGCTGATTCCGGGCGTTTTGTCGCTTTTCATTCTTCTTAATTCTTCTCTTACTTCTTTCGCGTTTAGCGCTATCTCCGGCCCTTCTCCTTTAATGTTTTCGCATTTTCTACGTTGAGAAGTTGTATAAAATAGTCGTCCCAACACAAGCAGAAAATTTTATAATCTCCACTTAACTCTTTTGCTGCATAACGTCTATTTAGTGTCCTCAACACGCATCATTTCCCTTTTCGGAAAGCTCTCGTATTTAAAGCAGTCATTCACCTTTTTTCGGAAGAGAAGGCTGCAGATTTTATGCATCATCAGAACTGAAGATTGTCAAGCAAATTAAGGAAGTTATAGCACTTTGTCTCAATGTTAAAGTGAGAAAAAATAAATTTTGGTCTGAAATAGCAATGATCTTTAACTGTACTCTTGCTGTGTAAATGCTCTTGCAATCTTTTACGAATATTTCTTTTAATGTCAGCATATTTGCTTTCTGATGCAAAATCCATTAAAGAAGGAGTGAATTTCTTTTTTGTGAAATAAATGTACAATTTTTCATAGCTGCCGACCATGTGGATTTTGCACCTCACCACCATATGATTTTCTTAATTGTACTAGAGAATAAATGTTTCTACTTCTGACCGCTCTCACTTTAACTAGTCATTCACTTTTCTCATTTCTCACCTTGGCATTGGGGTTAAAGTGTTAAGCCGTCTTAATAACCTGTTTTTCCAATGTGCTTCCCAACTTTCTTCTCGTCGAAGGCTTGGGGGGGCGCCCACCAGGTACTAGAGGCTGTACCTCACCCGTGTTTTGAAGTCATAGCATGTAATTAAAGTAATGAACATTTTGTACAAGCCGGACACCTGCCATTTTATTTGCCTTCTATATTTCTTAAAAACGCTGAGCCTACAAGGCTACAGGGCTTCTGCGCCATCTGAATGCTCATCCAGTTTTCTTAATAGATCAATGTTCGCTCATGCCAGTTTGCGCCAGCGGTCTTTAGCAACAAGCCACGCCCCTTGATTGGAATCATCTATGGCGGACTAATTCCCATGATTCGCATACAACAAAACCATCATCTTTCTGTTACATTTACTTGAGTTATGGATTATAATGTTATAGCCAACCAACCTGTGGTTATTGACAATGTAAGTGAAAAAAATATTTTTCCTGAAGTCGATACATGTGAGCCAGTTCTTATTGATGGAGAGTGAATGACATTTGTATCAATGGTTTTTTAATGCCGCTATTTCTTTCATTTGACAGGGTTCTGGTGTTATTAAAGCGGGATTTGCTGGTGACCAAGTTCCCAAATGTCATTTCGCAAATTAGTAAGTTTCTTGATTCACGAAAAACTCTGAAATATTGCCCTGTCAGTATCACAACCTCCCAGGGATAATCCGTATGAATGATCAATACAGCTTAGAATGTTGAAAATAGGTACTTCATATGTTTACATTATGTTATGTATCTCATAAAATGATGTTTTCTTTGGTGTAGTGGATTTGGGAAATTTCCAGCTTAACGTGCTGTAGTATTTAATCATAGCAAACAAGAAGGTCAATGTTATAGATCAATGTTACCATTACCATCATCAATAATTCAATATGTGTTTGCGACTCTATGCATGTCAATTGTCTTCCTTTCCCCCTGAATTTGTCACCCCCCCCGTCCTTCATAGCTTGTCTGTTATAAAGAAATGTACACTCAGTGAAGGGTAAATGTTTCCAGTAATGCCAAAAATTTGACGTATAGCTTAGACATCAAAGTGACTAAGGATAGTGCGATGATTATGAATATGTCATTTTTTGGTGCAGTGTTGGAAGGCCAAAACATGTTAGAGTCATGGCTGGAGCACTTGAAGGGGATATATTTATTGGGCCAACTGCACAGGTACGTGTAATAGCTGTGTGCTATTTCAAACAGCATTAATTTTTGTGTCATGTTTCTTTTACATCATTGCTTATAGGAACACAGGGGTCTTTTGAATATTCGATATCCAATGGAGGTTAATATGATATAATTGTTTTTAAGCTTTGAAAATTGAATCATTGTTTTCACTTAGTTTTTTTCACTTTTAGTTTTTTGAACTTTTTATTTTTTAGCATGGCATTGTAACTGACTGGAATGACATGGAAAGAATATGGCAGGTAGTAAATTAGTGAAGCAGATTACATCCATTACAGTGATGGCAGATGACCAATGCTGTATCTTCCCAAAGATTTTTTGTAAATATATTTGTTGTAGAATCAAACTGCAGAAGTGCTTGGGGTTTTTTTCTGAGATTGAAAACTGTGATGTTTCTGTTTTTTTCACAGTACATTTATTCGAAGGATCAACTTCAGACACGTTCAGAGGAAGTAAGTCATAAGTTACAAGATTTGAATAAGTTGTGGATACGTTTGGATAAGATGTGTTACTTGACAAGTTTGAAATCATAAGACAAGTCTGTATTGTTCAATGAACTAAGCGACAGATGTACTATTTTTGACCTTTCAGCATCCAGTGCTATTAACAGAAGCTCCGATAAATCCTAGACGTAATCGAGAGAAAGCAGCAGAAGTATGATTAAACATGAAATACTTATTTTTGGTCAATTGAGTATTGAAATCAATTGATATCTATTGCTGCTGCAAAAATATATGCCTTTTTCCTTTTTGTTAGCATTGTAATTATTTTCTTTTAGATATTTTTTGAAACCTTCAATGTTCCAGCATTGTTTGTTTCCCTTCAAGCTGTACTAAGTTTATATTCTACTGGGCGTACAACAGGTGTTGTCTTGGATGTGGGTGATGGTGTTTCCCATGCCGTACCTATATATGAAGGTTTTGCTATGCCTCACTCGATCATGAGAACAGATGTTGCCGGCAGGTAGTGAGACTTGTAAAAGCAAGCCATAGTTTTGAAATTGTTGTCAATGTTAGCCAGAGGCACGTGGGGCTATAACTCAGGTAGCAAAAAATCATGCTTTGGTTCAAACATGCACCATTTGAAATTAAGGGAAATTCAACTTTGAAAGGAAATTGTTCATTTCATGGCATTTCTTTGTTTCAAATTTTTGCTGAATAAACTGATAAACATTTTGCACCATGAAAGGTAGAGAACGTGAAGATTATCAAAGAAGCAGTTGATCACAGATGCGATTTAAAATTTGTTGAAATTTCTTAGAATTTAGCTTAAAAAGCGCTAATTTTGCAATGCTTCCTTGTAAACAGCACACCTTGCTCTTAAATCACTGGTGATATAGTGTCATAAAAATGCTGATCATTTTTCTTTTGTTTCTCTACCTACATTGGCTAAACTCATTTTATCTACAATAATCAAATATTTTTGCTGCATTTTGTGGTTATCCAGAGTTTGGACATAGTTTAATTTAGTTTAACATTCAACAATTTGGTGAATAGTCACCAACAGAGCTTAGGTTAGAGGTCTAACTCTCACATCAGGTCTTGTGCAAAGCACTAATTGTTGTTCTTCGTCTTTAGGGACATCACTCGTTATTTGCGTCTTTTGCTCAGAAGAGAAGGCTTCAGATTTCATACATCATCAGAACTGGAGATTGTCAAGCAAATCAAGGAAGTAAGTAAAAGTGAAATGATAGATTTTTGTATGTAATAGCAACAATCTTTAACCGGACTCTTGCTTTATACAAATGCTTTTGGAATCTTTCATGAATATCATTTTTCATTTCAGCAAATTTGTTATTTGGTGCAAAATCCATTGAAAGAGGTTTGTACTACTTATTTTTCAATCAATTGTTCAATTTTCATTGTTGCCAACCTGTTGGATTTGCAAGATAAAAATTTTTCTGCTTTCAAGGAGCCCATGGACTCGGATAAAGCTAAATTCATTTTGCCTGATGGCAGTACACTTGATGTAAGTCAAGATGATTGTAATCTTGGTTTCACCTTCCAAATACCCAAACTTTTCTTTTTTTGAAAATGATTGCAGCCTGGTTCATCGAGATACAGAGCTCCAGAACTTCTTTTTCGGCCAGATCTGATAGGAGATGAATCTGAAGGAATTCATGAGGTACAGTGGAAAGATTTTCATTTGCTAGTTTCAATTTAACTGACATCACAACATCATCGTTGTAGCAAGAACGTTAATTTGGGGAGGGGGGGCATATTCATAAATTTAGTTGTGCCAGATTGATTTCTTTTAAAGCGAATTCACTTAAAAAAGAACTCTGTCAAGCACGACTGAATATACACACTCCCCTGCCCAACATTACGTATTTCACATCTGGTTCTTTTTTTCTACGATTAGCAACATCACACTCGTGTGAGTTGAGCATTAAAAAGCGTGATTACTATCGTCAATAATTACAAGTGCTACATGCCATGTCTATCATACCATTCAGGTTCTGGCATTCACCATACAAAAGTCAGACATGGACCTTCGGAAGACCTTATATGGCAACATAGTATTGTCTGGTGGCTCCACTTTATTCAAAGTTGAGTACAAAAGTTGCAATTTGTGGTATATGATGAACTTTTTGCTTCGTGACGAGATTATGATGGTTTTTTCTTCTTCAGGTTTTGGCGATCGGTTGCTCAGCGAGGTCAAAAAATTAGCCCCAAAAGATATTAAAATTAGGGTATCGTTGAATTTGGTTTTTTTTCTGGCGTTTTATCCACATGCTTCAAGTGTTAATATTCTTCTTGTGTATATGTACAGATATCGGCTCCTCAAGAAAGACTGTATTCCACGTGGATTGGGTAAATACGTCATTTGATTTAAGAAATAAAGGATATTTACTGTGTTTGCACAGGCTTATGCAAACCGAGGAGACCTTTGGGAGAACTCAAGAGCAAATCAGTGCTAGCCGAAGATGGAAGATAAAGGGTTTACACCTGCTCGAGAGTTCTCACAAACGTTTCCGAGGTTTGCAATAGCCAGTTCAAACACAAAAATTTTTATTTCTTTTATTAAATAGCAAAATGGGAAACAGAAAATTTTATGACAATCGTTTTAATTTTGTCTCTAAAATGTATTCGCGATTGATTACCAAATTCTCTTTGAATTGATTGCTATAGACGAATGAGCGCAAACGTTTTATTGCTATTATTTATAAATGATCCAGTAGTAGCAAGATGAATTCTAGTTTTTGAGTCTTTGAGAGCAGAGAGAGTGAAGAATTTGAATGTTAGCGTTTACGAGATGATGGGAGGTGGGCTGTATATCAAGAGTCTCAACGACAACAATACAGATGCATTCTTGTTTGACAATGAGTTTGGAGTAGAGACGAAATGTCATCGTATATTGATGTCCTGTTTTATAAGAGCTTTAGAAGAGCTCTTATCTTGAGTTTACGAGATATTGTTCTTTAAAGCATGTTTTTTCTTATAATTTTATTTCCAATCCAACCTTCTATAGTAACCCTTCGTACAGTACCGCTCGCGTAGCTATAATTTAACACTTTTTTGCGTATGATACGCGTATTTTTACTGCCTTAGTTTGAACAAGTGAAAAGAAAACAATAACTAAATGTTTGGTTTCTCAGCCCAATCAACCACCCACTATCGTAATGATATCAGTATAAGAGAAGTAAGGTGAGTTCGTCTATTAGAGGCAGGACGTTTATTTGACAAGGAGCGTTTAATGAATAATTTAAAACAATTGAAATCGCCTCTATCGCGTATTATACGCATATTGTATAGGAAAATTATTTTTCCTTCCATAGAACAATAATTCGTTTCTTTGCATTACGGGTAAGCCTTTTCCCTGATATCATTAATGCAATGTTCCACAATTATGAGTGAGAATTCTGGTAACTGTCTCACGTACAAATGGCTTGAATGATGCATTCGCAAGCGTATCGTACGAGTATCAGACGTACATTATATCCGTATCACACTCGTAGCGTATGTTAAGAAATACGCGAGCGGTACTGTAGCTTGCAACCCTGTGATCAGAGCTTAACAGCTCAAGTACTTTATCTCCTACCTCCTATAATAACCTTTAATGCGACGTACGATCAATTTACATATGTGTGTTTTTGTTTAATTATAGCGGCTCTATCTTGGCATCTTTGGATACTTTTAAGAAAATGTGGGTTTCTAAAAAGGAATGGGAAGAAGAGAACACCCGTGTGCTTCACCGAAAGACTTTTTAGATTATATGAATATCAAAAATGTCTTCAAATCAAGCAATGTCATAGGCAGACCAATGACTGTGCAATGCACAAAAATATTTCCAAACTACACAATTTTTGTACTAAAGTAGCCGCTGAGAGTATGCTACGATAGTTGGGATGTACAATGCGAAAATATTCTCTAGATATCTTTGCAACTAAACTAAAATTGGGAGTGAAATGAAATCTGTGACAAATTTACCACGCACTTGGAAGATTCAGCTGACTTACCAAACAAGTTACCAGACAAGAAAAATGTGAAAAGGTTGAAAGGTTTTTGAAAAAAATGACTAGTGCTTTCCGTACCACAAAATGAGGAGCTTGTGCAATTCTGAGTTTTCACATCGAGATTTTAAATTTGTAACTTTAAACGTGATATGGGTTTAACGTTATCCTTATGACAAATTTTCGTCTTTTGTTTTACAAACTTGTTTGCTTCGTTGAAATATTGTTACTACGAGGTAGCTAAAATTGTCATAGATTTCATTTCTGGTAGTCAGGTTTATTTTAATGTTTGTGCATTACATAGACGTTGGCAAATGGCAATATGCTATGATTCAGCTTTCATCACTTATTTATTTGAGCAAAGTGCCGACCAAAGTTTGTTGTCGTATTTTATGAAAGCAGATTTTGTGTTGAACTTAACCATGACGATTCTTTAAAGCAACTTGATAAGCAAAATGTAATATTGTGACTTATAAAGTGATTGGTTTTAACTCGGGAGTATCGTTACATGTTTGTGGATGTAGATCGTCCAGGTTGGTATAGTCCTGAAAAGGACTTCTGGTGATGTTGACGGACGTTTTGACAACCTTAGCAATAGTCATCTTCACTCGAAAGACGGCATCCGTTTTGTCGAAACGTCAGTCAATATTAACACCAACAGTTCTTTTCAGCACTCTACCGACCTGGACGATCTACATCGATAAACATGTGACTTATCCAAAACACTTGGTTTGTATTGAGAATCTTGGTGCTACCTGATCCGACATTTTGTCTCAATGGAGAGAAGTCTTTTTAGGTGAGATCATTTCTTGTCAAAAATATGTGATGTAAATAATGGTACTCAGTAAAAGTGTATTTTAGAATGCTTCTTGAATGAGTTTTTGCATTTTCTTGTGTGGTTAGCTGTACCTCGGCCAATCGACTTTACCTACAGTTGGTATTTTTGCCTGATACTAATAATTCTTGAAATGCCCTTCTTGGTAGTGCCCATTGGCACATGTATCAATGTTCAAGACATTTGCAGGGTTCCCGATTCTTGATTCAAGCTTAGTTTTCTTCTCTTGCTCTACAGTCACAGAATAAAGAACACCCTAAATTGTATTTTTTCTGTGCCACCATCGTGTTGGTGCGGTCTACTGCTTAAGAATATTTCGACAATCCTTATGTGGCATCTGCTCACCCGGGCAAGAGATGTTTTCTAAAACTATAGGGTTGTTTTGACCAAGAATTTTCATTCACACAAGAAATTATTGTCATGGAAAAAATAGCATTCATTGCTTGATTTTGGATAGAGCATTTTTAGACAAAAGATGAAACAATTTTACTTTTTGTTGGAACCTTGGAAATTTGTACCATGACTTACATCGACTGCATAACAATTTGCTTTCTTATCCAGGAAGTCCAATTATATAAGAAGATGAAGTTCCAAACTTCCAAGAGGAACAACTTTGAGTCTGGGATCCACGGCGTCGTGAAACTATGATTCTACGAACTGTAGAACTAAAAACTGTATGTTTTTGCCTACCATAGATTAGTTAATTTTTCCCGAATCTTCAATTTTTCCTTAAAGATACAAATGTTTAGACGTTTCAAATTTCCAAGTGCATATTCTATTCTAATGGTTGAATGAAAAAAATCAATTGGTTCAAGATCGAAATACTAATTTCAGAAAAAAACTACGCGTTCTTCTTTCGGACAAATCACAATACCACGTGAGGTGTAATTCAAAATGGCGACTCCTTCGGTTACTGTGGTTGGCGAAATAAATCCTTTTCCTAAGTCAAACAGTGTCAAACCTCATCAAAATTTGATCGAACTCATCACGTTGGAGCATAACTACTGTAAACCATGGTCCGAAAGAGAAAATTACCCCATGCTAGGCCAGCTGTGAATTTATTTGCTTCACAAGTTGCACCGGTTGACGGAATCGAAGCCGAAAAATCGAAGAAGAAAAACTCTGATGATGCTAAAAATACAAAAACTGAGCAGGAAGAGGAGATAATTGATGTTGATTCTGTCGAAGAACCTCCACCGTCTGGCCCTGGTGCCATCAATATTCAATATGATGTAGTGAAGTCAAAAATTGTTATGTCTGAATGTGAAAAATATGTAAATAGCACATCCAGCAAGAGAACACCCGATACTTGGGAAGAACTTATTTGCAGGTTTTTGTTAAATTTACATGGAATTGATTTAATATGTGGCACTTTGTTGCATGCCATGAATTGCCCATTCTCTACAAAACATTCTTCACCATTGGCCATTTTTGCTATGTAATATTTTTATAATTCTGCTCAGTATTATAGTTTGAGTATAATATTAAGCAAACTAAGTTTGCTTCGTACCAGCCACATGATGCCACAACATGAAAAATATAGCAATTTATTGTAAAGTTAGTACTTCATAGTGATAATGTGATTGTGTACTTGGATGTAATTCTTGCTGGTATTTATAAAAGTATTAATTTCATTATGTTTTTATTTTGCAAGACTGAACAAGGCATTTTATTCACAACATACTTTAAAATACATAAGCTTTCTGATGAATTAATTTTTAGGACTGGTTGGACCACACAACAAAATGTTTTATTTGATAAAATTCTTAAGATAGTATCTGCTTATCGATTGTCTTGGCTCACATATAAAGGGGGTAAGTTTCTCGCATAATTTAGCATTTGCTATTTTCGCAATTCCTTGTGTAATTTGAGATATTCCTTTTTAAATTTTAGTCAAATAATGAGCCGATCCTTCGTAGAATTGCCTTGGATAAGGCCACGAAAAAAGTGAGACAAATTTTGAGTAGGATTGAATGGGTAAGATTGTTTTTGTTGTGATGATAGTAGATCTGAATAGATTATATTGTTGTTATGATCAAACCATAGTTGGCACTAAGATCTTCAAGGATATTCTATGAGGAATTATTTAATTGTCTGGTTCCATAAGATTATACGTAGGTACTGCCATATTTATGTAGAAGCACAATTGAAGTAAGAAAATCGAGTGTAGAGAACAAACTTGTTTAATGTAGACATCTTTCGGCAAACTTATACCATCATCTGTGTGAATGAATGATATGTTAAAAAATGTGATACATGAATATATAAATAGGGATAAAATAAATTTAAAAAGTTTGTTCTTTACATTCAATTTCCATTATATTTGGACTTGTGTCAGGACATGTTACTTTACTGGAACTTTGATTATAGTTTGTCTTTGTCATTTATGGTATGGTCATAAAAGACGTTTTCATGAATTAGGCCAATTTTCAGTTAGATTATCACAATTATAAGATATCAAAAATAAATGTGTGCACTGATTGGTCTACAGCCAAGTTTTTATTAATCTGAGCAAACCAATCAATTAAGTCCGTCAAAGAGAATTTGTTAATCAATCATGAATACATGTTAGAGAAAAAATTAAACTATTTGTTTTAAATTTATCAGTTTTGCACAGCTGTTATTTTATAAAGAAATAAAGATGTTTTTGTGTTTGCACAGGCATATGCAAATCTAGAGGACGTTTGTGAGATCTCTCGTAAATGCCAACTGATCTGCTCTTGAGTTCTCCCAAATGCCTCTTTAATTTGCATAAGCCTGTACAAACACAGTAAAACATCTTTTATTCCCAAAATGTATTATATAATATTTCAGGATGCTAAGCTTACAAACTGGCTACATGGTTCAATGTTGGATGGTTTGAGCACACCCTTGTTGGCTTGCTACCTTGATATAGTTCAGACCTTGCGATCGAAGGTTGAATATGAGTTATAAATGAAGTGTTTTGATTCATCTTGTAACTACATTTATGATTGCAACAAATGGCAAGCATTTCATGTAGCATTGATCATTTAAGTCTTCAGCTTTTCATTTTCTCTTTCTAAGGTTCCTACTCTTGTTGATAAGATACTTGCTGGTGGCGCAACTCATCGTCGTGTTTCTGCTGGTTCTACCGATAATTTGGCGGCTTTATTAAAACGTCCATGGGATGCCACAGTGGCCCTCTCATCATACCAACGACCGGTATGTCATATTACTGTTCAAGATTTGTGATATTTAATGGAATATTTAAAAAATGTGAACACATGTCAAAATTTGTTATCTAAAGTGATGCTTTCTTGATCCGGTCCAGTTGCCAACTCCAGGAACATCTTCTGTTTTGTTATGATAGTTCAAAACTTTTTTACCAATGCTTATAGAGGAAAATCCTTGGAACGCCATTGCTGTTGATTGTACCAAATGGACCCACAACGAACATCTCTGGAAATTCCACCAAACGCTCTCGTTTCTGGCATCATCATCTGTCACATTTCGGAAAAGTCATTCCAGTTACCATGCATCTTAGTAACAGTGGTAGAGGAGTTTCCATTGGTCAATGTCTTGATCACATGATTGGTGCTGTGCAAGCTAAAGTTCTTGAGGTGAATAAATTAGTTGTATTGTTTGAATTGTTGTGTATCATAAGCCCGGGACTCCGTGATTCGCTTCGACGTTTGCTGCTCATGGCAGTTGGGAGGACAGTGAGTGGAAGGTTTACAGTACTGTTTTATATGATATGCTTATTAAGTTGGGGAATGAAAACATGATTAAGGTGTTTCACTAAAACATTACTCGCAATAAGCTTAGTCAACTTATTATTACTATTATATTTCTGAATAGCGAGTGTGTGGAATGTTTGTGATTCCAACACATCATAAACGGAAAAGACCTACGATGTTGTCTTTTTTTCGCAAGACTGATAGAACGTTTAATCAATGACAGTTTTTCCAATCACTAAACATTCTTGCTTGACTTCAGAATATTTTCGCATTTATCATCAGAAAGTGACTTGTCATTTGATCACATTCAATAATTTCACTTTTTCTATTGTGTGAGTCAGAAAGTCAACCTTTATAACTTTTTTAGTTGAAAAATCACTTTCCTAACCGCCCTGTGATTCTGATTGGCTGGGCTACTGGTGCTTTGGTTTCCTTTCAGGTACGAAATTTTATGACATGAGCTTTTTATCTTAATCCCGATTTCTTAGTGTTGTTTTGCTTATGTATGTTTAAAACTTATAAGTGTTCAGCTAAGATGTTTTGTGCCAAGCTCATCTCTTTTCAAACAAATTTCAGGTTTCGTTAAGAGAATCTGTTTGTGCTATTGTTTGTCTTGGCTTTCCGATGCTCACGGTCGATGGTATACGTGGTGTAGGTGTTTCTTCAACTCACTGATTTATTACAGTCTAATTGTTCTAATCAATGTACTTTTTTATTGCTAATTAAACTTGGTTTAGGTGCTTCTTCAACTCACTGATTTATTACAGTCTAATTGTTCTGATTAATGTACTTTTTTATTGCTGACTATACGAGGTGTAGGTGTTTCTTCAACTCATTGATATATTTACAGTCTAATTGTTCTAATTAATGTACTTTTATATTGCTGATTATACGTGGTATAGGTGTTTCTTCAACTCATTGATATATTTACACTCTAATTGTTCTGATTAATGTACTTTTTTATCGTTGTATATTTAGACTGCTGATGATCCGTTTCTTGAAAGCAAAATTCCGACTTTATTTGTCTATGGGACGCTTTCAACGTGTTGCTCACTGACAGATATCGAGGTTTCTGTCATTTTTATTATTCTTGATGTTGTTGCTTTTAAAAAAGAAATGCATGACTCAATAATATTAATGTCTTTTTTCACTGTAAGAATTTCATAATTTCCTATTTAGGAATTCCGTTCCAAATTGCTGGCAGATACCAGTTTACTCGTCGTCAGTGGGGCAGACGGTCAGGTAAAATTTTAAAAATAAATCTTTCTGTTTACATTGAAATCACACGTTTTGTGCCTTGTACTTATCGTGTCATTTGTTTTTTTTAATCCTCCATCGCTCCTCAGCTACGTTTGACAAGCGCGAAGAAGAAAAAAGAAGGCGTAACACAATCTGTGGTAGACAGAAGAATTATGGTATGTTACTTTGATGTATTAAAAGTAGTTTTGTTACAGTGTTGTCAACAGTTATAATAGAGCTGTTCATCTTAATTCCTCCCTATTGCAGCTACACTCACAGCATAAGTCACTTTTCCCTGGAATCTTAAGAATGTAACCATCGATTAAAGAGATGCTTCATTCAACTTATATCAATATTTTCATTGTCGTGTTTTCCATTTTCTTTCGTTTTCATCTTTCTTTGAATGACTCTCACTATAGGACGACATTGGAGAATTTGTGAATCGTGCCGTGTCAAATATGAAAGACGACACGCATCCACGGCTTGACTATTATGATTTCGATGATTTCGAAATTCAGCGGAAGAAATCTAAATCTGTGTATCGTAAACGTTCGTCAGTTGATGGCCAGGTTTTGCCAAGCGATCCGAAGAAACCACGTGGTCGAACAACGAAGGCCGTTAACAGTGAAGCGAATAGCGCGAAGAAAGCAAAACCGATGAAAAAGCCCACGGTTAAAAAGTCGTTAGCACATGCTCCTGGAACTGATGGTTTTGGTACTGTAACGTCAGTCCCAGCAGTCAAACCTGTAAGCATTCCCATTACTTCTCTTCACACAGTACATCCTGGGGTTCTTCAAGGTGTACCTTTGACCAGTGTATCAACCCCCGTTGTGCCAATCAGTGGAGTGCCTGTGTCTCGAGTTAGTATACCAGGGGTACGCATCTCTGGACTTAGCATTCCAGTCACTGGTGTTAATGTACCCGTATCCGCTGTTTTTAAGCAAGGGTCCCTTGGTGGAGGATCTCTTGTGTTTTCTGGGGCGACTGGCGTGCCTGGAAACCCTGTGGGTACAACCTCCGGTATTAAAAATATGGGAGGAAAAACTCATTTAAAGATTGTGGTCAACCCTACTTCTGATGCTGGCATACAACTCTCAGGTACTCCTGCAACGACCATGATATCTGAAGCACAAGCTGTCTTGCAATATAAGAACGCCATTGGAGCGTCTGTTTCTAAGAGCAATGCCGTATGCCTTATCCCAACCAGTTCAAAGAGTGCAACAGGAGTTGCTACTACCACTTTAACGTCAACATTGGTTACGTCATCACCAACAACACGACCACCGATGACTTCAACAGCTCTTACGTCTGCGTTGATTGTGTCGTCCGGGTTTATATCTGAGCCTGCACCTGCTTCCAACTCCACCCTTTAAATGGTTCTTCGTTGATTTCCTCTAAATCAAACATTGGGTCTGAGACTGTTTCTAAGACAATCGCTGAAAGTACGCAAGCGTTAAAGCGTCCTGCTATAACGCTGCCATCCAGCATTCACCAGGTGCCATTGTCAAGTAGCGTACTTTCGACAAGCCAGCTAAATATGGCAGTGCGTGTTGGTGGTAGCGATAACAAAAGTCAGCAAACTGTAAATAATCCAGCCATGAAACCATTAGCGGCTAGTGACGCCAAGACCAGCCAAGTTACACTAAACCAAGCACGATCAACACCATCTCCCCAATCTATTGCACGTACAATTCAAGTTGGAGTAAAACGTACCGTAACTTACAATCCCGTTACCTCGACGAAAAATGTCACCGTCCTTTCAAGGAATTCTTCTCCTGAATCATTGAGCCATATTAACTTGGAGCGCTTGAGAGCCAAATTGAAGACTATTCAACACCTGACAGGATTGCAATCTGGGTCACTACATCAAATGAAACACGTTCAGACGCTAACTAACCCAGCGTCACAAAATCTCCCTTCCGGCAGTAACCAGCCTGCCATAAACTTGGTTGGACAAACTTCATCCAGTGTTCAACACCCATCTAAATCTTCTACGCATGGGATTACCATGACAACTTCTCAGGCAATTGTAAAATCTGACCAGCGGGATATTGTTGCGCCCTTGACTAATGCCACGTCCAAAACAGACTTGCAACCTGTTAAATCCTCTACCGTTGTGATTAATCAGCCGACTATTGCTAGTATAAAATCACAGGAAAGTCGTCTGTTATCTGCATCTTCAGCTCAAGCTACTGCTATGACAGTTAATCCAACGACAACGTCTTCATCAACGACGAAAACCAATTCGGCGGTTTCCTTGGCACAGCGTGTTTCCAAATCAGAAAAAAATGCTAATGAATCGCCTTTAGATACATCTATTTCAGTAAAATCCTCCGCAATGTCTGTTGTCAAGCAAGGCGTTCAAACAGTGTGTAAGCCTGCCACGCATTTCATTCAAGTTCCTGGGTCGACAAAATTTAGTACAATCAACAAATCAAGTTCTCAATCATTGAGCATGCTAAATGTTCAAAGTAATACAAAAATTATTGGTACTCAGTCAAGTGTGCCTATAATCCGTGCAAACAGCTTGAAATCGCGTGCTCCAAGTGTAGCTTCTTCACATGTCCCAAGCACTACCACCTCGGTTGTACTCACTAGAAATTTAGAGTCTTCTGCGAAAAGTGATCAATCAGTTGACGACTCTTCAAAGTCTGACGAGGAAAAGCTAGCGGAGAGAATCAACTCTATCGTGAAAGAGGTTGTTGGAGGGCAGCAACGGACTACCCGACAGTCTGTGCGACGTCTCGTAGCCGCTGCAAAAGTAGCCGAGGCTCAACACAAGATCAGTGAAAGTGGCGAAGAAAGTCAAGATCAGACGACCCAGAAATAAAGTCACCAAACATTAAAATTATTGTTTATGAGGATTTAAATAGAGCATTTTGAACATTTTAATTATTCGCTTCTTTTCTATAGGGTATTTACTAGAAAAAAGCTCTACACTATTTCTTGCGTTGTTCCTTGGCTGTTTTGAACAGTTAAGGAATCTTCATTTTGTGAACCTTGCAGCATGTATTGCTATAGTATGCTTAACTTTACAAAAACTGTCTGGCAGAAATATCTTAAATCTTAGCATTTAAAGCGTTCAGTTATAATTAATATAAGACAAGACAGTTTTACGAACACAGGCTTCATGATACAAAGAATAATTTCATTGTTAAGTTAATCATCAACCTACATGCTTATGTAAATAGTTGAAAGTACATTTATGTTTAATATAGTCGAAATGTTGAAAATATAAAAGAGTCAGTGACTTCCACGATATATTTAGAATTTCAAGGTATGTTCTGCTCCTGTAATTTTGTATTTACTTATGCATTTTGAATAGCTTGACAAAACGTTTTGATTGACTTGATCATTTTCAAAGATTACAAACACACTCGGATTATTCAATTTGTCAACGCGAGAAAGGTTGAGTTTGTACTTTGTAGGCCTTACTTGAATCCGAAGGTGGTAGACGTGTACAGTACTTAAATACATCATTTTGTAACGCGTTGAAGGCGAGGCTTTGCCGTATGAATCCTAAAATGAGGAGACAACGGCGTAGTACGATCATTTACCGTATTTTGTCCCACGGGCTCCATTCTCCAATCAAAACCTTGTTAGCATATCGCTTTAATTAAATTTTGCACTTCGAGTGGAAGACCTAATTTTCTTGAAGTGTTAGAGAATTTTCTAAGACACATAATGAATGAAATCCCTCTTAATGACAGTTTCCATAATGACAGTATCTTACTAATATTTGTGTCTTCTCAGGAAGAACAATAGTATGCAACACCACATCTGCAGACAGGATATACAATTGTCGCTTACCTTGAATCAGATTCCTAGGTTTTGAACCTGTTACATTTTGTTAATGGTCTTATTGTTGAGTGCCTTTGAATTTGTTCTGTGTTGGATTGTATTCTCATGACTAATATTCTAATGCTACCAAGATAACATCTTCATGTGACGAATGTCTTTAGCCTTGAGAAAGGTTTAGGTGATCAACCGGTTGGTGAGACAGGAATGATGAAATTTCATCGTTGTCACGTACGTGCCTTTCTTGCCTTTCCTGATCAGCCATCCTTGTGATAGAAAGTAAAAATTGTGGTGTCGTAAATCAATTCTCTCAAAAATTTCTCATAGTATCAAATAATGACTGTTTGGAAAAACCTTTCCAACTGAAACCCTTCCAGCCTCAACGTTCATGAATGATATATGAACGAAGTCAAATTAATCAACCATGGTCAATTTGAGAATAGTTTCTGTGTTGATTCAAGTGTAGCAAGTTATAATGTAATTGAACTTTCCTTTCTGCGCGTGTAAAATTTTTTACGGGATACTTTGTACCGAGATACTTTGTACCAGTGCATTCCATACAAAGTTCCAAACCTATTTTCACTCACATGTACGTGTGATCATATGTATCGTTTCAATTTCAACATATTTCTTTACTAAACAAGAATATCTTGAAGTGGTGTCTCTTGTTAAAAAAAAATGAATCCATGTTTAATTGTGTAATCTTTGAAGCCGTCACTTTGTTAAACAGATAATATCAGCCACATTGAATATAAAATTTTCCTCCGTTCTTGCATACAACAATAGCATATTTGTCTTTTCCATTACCCTATCTTCCGTCAATATATTTATTGCGCAGTGTATGAAAGGTTTTCTGATCCGGAGTTCTTAGTTTCTTCTGCAGCTGTTATAATATGGTTTTCCATTTTGAACGTTTCGATCAACTGAGCACGCCGCTCCGGTAATACCTCAGTCACTAACAGTAATCATCGATCATTGATTATCTGAAAGCCGACTGTTTTCCAAGAACTTTGAGGGAAATTCCGGTGAAATGAGATAAGAAGAGATATGCATGAATGACGAAAGAGGTATAAAGTAAAAGTGAAACAGCTGCTGGTCTTGTCTTTGACAATATTGAGAGAATATAGTTGATGTTTTTCGTAAAAAGTGTTAATGTATAAAAAGATTTATGGTAGGTTACAATTTGTTATTTACTCAGGCAAAGAACAGTATAAATCTTATTTTAGTTGAGGAATACCCAGGGACGAATTGTATTTCAATTTGATTTATGTATTCAGTAAGGGCGTTTAAGGTTTTCAAAATTATTAGCCACAACTAAATAGCTTTTTTTCCATACAAAGAAAGAGAAGATGAGGAATTTTCAATGCGAACCAAAATGTTTTGTGAACTGGAACGTGGAATGTGTAACATGAAGTAATGAATTGTTTAAAAAATGGTAGAATATGTGATTTTTGCTAATACATTACAAAGCATTGATCTGCAAAGCTAAGTTAATTAAAGTTTGAAAAAGATAGTCAAATGACCCCTGAACAAAGGAATATTCTGCGTATAAACGAACCGAAATTGGTTTCAGATATAATTCCAAGCGACATTCTCAGTTGGATGATGTGTCTGACTGACGAAGACAACGAGGTTATAATGGCCGAAGAAAGAAATTATGGCTATTCTAGAGCGGCAAGGTTATTACTAGATCGCTTAAAAAGACGAGGTGCTGAAGCATTTGGACAGCTTGTAAATGCATTGCGGGAAAACGGATTAGAGCACTTGGCTTTACTCATAGATCCAAATAACGAAGGTATAGTTGAAGAATGAATAGAACCACGTGACTTTATCTTTCACTTTGACTCAAAGCTCCTTTTTTGGAATCTGCTTTAAATTTCTTTTTGTAATATGACTTTTTTAGCATCAGGCATTACTTATGATCCAATTCATTTTATATTTTAAGTTATCCTGGAATAGCTTGTGTGCACCTAGGCACTATTCTTCTTCATGGTAGATGAATCGAGATGCAAAGGTAGACAGGAATTTTTAAAAAATGACATCAAGGAAATTGTTTGTTTGCAGACAATGATTCCATAGTCTAGCATTGTTTACATTATTCAGCTCCTTTTTAGGAACACTTCACATGATTTTAATGACAATTTTGTTTATTTATTTTTTAAATTTGATTGATTAAAAGAAGATTTATGCGACAAACTGAATATAAGTGACAATAATTCAACTCCTGTAATCAGATTTCCCAGCATAAATGTGGAGGGTACAGTAACCATTGTTATTTGTTTTTTATCCATAATTTGCATTTTTATCACTTCTTGAAAGATTACTTTGCCTCCACAATTACTTTTCATATATCAATATTTTGTAGGCTCATTTTATCTCCACCAAATTTTTATGAATCGCTTCACCAAATACCTGTAATGCAATTTGTAATTATTTGCCGTCATTAAATAGAAGACCTTCAGATGATTAATATTTCCTATAAAGCTGGTGAATGCTCTGCTTGTAATACATTGTCTTAAAGGCAATGCTTGCTTAAGACTTACACAATGCTTAAATCCTCACATTGTTCTTCCTTAGGGGCAAACTCTTACTCATCATCATCCTTAGCATTCTCTTCTTTCTTGTATTATTCCTTCTTTTATCTTTCTTTTTAATCTCAAATCTAGGTCAACGATGGTTTTTATAACCGTTTGACTCCTCTCCATTAATCCATTCCAATGCTAAAAGAGCTTTTTCTGTTCTCTCTGTGTATCATCGTTTCTGTCTTCTTTAACTCACACTTCTCTAGGTTTTTTGCAATTTCAGAGTTATAGCAATATAATTCTTCCACCTTTCCTAACGCCAAAGTTTTTCAGTAGCTTTCTATCACACGCAGAGTCAACGTTAGTTAGGCCTATTCATAAACGCCTGAGCCCACGTCTTTGGATCCACGAGTATTGCCCGTAGTTTCCAGCTCTATTTTCAAACCTACTCGTCAAACGAAGAATACCTACTGTACTTGGACCTCATGATGCAATCATCAAATATGGTATGTCTTACATAAGTAGTACTTTAAAGAACTAGAAACAGAAAATAGTACGCAGCAATAGATAAGTGAAGTATATGCAAAATCTACACAGCTTTGTTTGCACCTTTGATGTTTCATTCTTGGCTTTGATAATCTGTTGTTTGAGCAAATCCATAGCGTGCGTTTTTAAGTGAATTTAGAATCAAACACTTTAGCCGTGCGAATTCTTTGTGTTTCCAAGACATATGGCCATCTTTGGTTTTGAGAACTTTTACGTAAATGGTCAGCGATAGCAACCAACAATCCACAAGAGAAAAATCTCTCCGCGAATAGTCTCGTTGGGTGCTAATTTGATCACTTTGCTTATCATTTGTCAATCATCCTTAGATGTTCACACTCTCAACTATATTTACAAAATTTATCAGAATGCCTTTATGTTTACTGGGTTGTCGAAGGAGGTGACTTAGGAAACATGCATCCATCCATGAATATCTATAAAAATTGCACCACATTTGCCATTTTACCGCCATGCTTAAGCAACTTTTTCTTTCCTTTCATAGTGCTTAATTATAGACATTTTCAAGTTTTCTGTGGATTAGCAACTGAATCAAAAGAAACCTGGAAATTGACAGATGATCATCAAGTAAGAATTATAATTTTATGCAATTAAGATTTGCGCCATGCATTATACCGAATTCTGTCACACTTCGTACCGCAGTTTTCTCTATTTTTGTGCGCGTAGTTAAGTTACGCACGTCACGCTTTAATTCTTGCATTTGAATTTTTAGTGTTTGAATTTTTGCGTTAGATTTTGACCATTACGTAATATGCACAAGGCACCAGAACTCAATGAAAGTCATGCTTATTTCCTTTTGTTCAACTAATGTGATCAATAAATTATGGACTCTCGTTAGTTTTTTAATCGTGTGAACGTACTCAAATTATTATCAGGCATTCGCAACTCGCAAGGAAATTTTTGCGAATCCCCTATCAAAGGTACGTCTGAGACTATCTCGCGTATCTTACGACCATACAACATACGTGTCGCACATAAACCAATCACAACGTTACGGCAAGTACTAACGAACATAAAGGACAAAGAACAACCCAACGAACGACAAGGTGCAGTTTACAAAATAAACTGCTCCGACTGCCACGCCTCCTATATCGGGGAAACTGGCAGGAACTTAAACATAAGACTTACTGAGCACAAACGAGCTACTAAGAAACAAGACAAAACTAATCACATTGCCGAACATCACCGAATCACAAAGCACAACATTGACTGGGACTCGGCAAAATGCATCACTTACAGCACTGACTATAGACAACGGCTTACATTAGAAAGTTGGTATACCAACTTGGAACAAACCCCCCTGAACAGATCACAGCAATTACCGGCACCTTACAAACGACTTATTCACAATACAAACAAACGATCAACTAAAACATTACACTTCAAACTAATTCACAATGACATACACAATTGACACCCACACATTACAACTAAAACGTCACACCTAAATCACACATCACAACTAAAAATAAAATATTTCACTTCACACTAATCCACAATGACAATACAAATTTCCTGTACACACAATACAATGACGTAAGAACCAGATAACAAATACGGCTAACATGACGTTTACTCCTCATTTGACTCTGAAGATGACTACCGCTAAGGTTGTCGAAAACGTCAGTCAACAACAACAAAAACAGTCCTTCTCAGGACTTTATTAACCTGGACGATCATCATTTACAAACATTTAACGGATTAACTCGGAAATTTTCGGAAACTCTCGGAAGTATTTGGAGAACATTGGATTATCTTAAAATCGTCGTTGTTTTGAAAGAACTGTCGAGCTATGAAGATTTTCTTTTCATTGAACTATTATTTATCTATACATTCTTTATGAAAATGAAGAAAATACAAAAATGAGAAAAGTTCACAAACTTTTAATGTTCATGAAATGTTTATGAAGACAGCAAAAAGTTCACAAATCTATGAACTTTGTTCACGATCTGGCAACACTGATTCAATGTTGGACATAATTTGCTCCCAGTCTATGATTATTCAGCGCGGTCAAAATTGGGCGCCAATATTTGTTTCGCCTTTTATAAAAATATAATACAAATAAACTGCAAAAACTCTGCGCAAAACTTGCTTTTAATATAGCATGACTAACCAAAGTAAAAAGCCAAAAACTTCCTACCTGTTGCTGCTTATATTTTACACCATTTCTTGTTGAGATTAGCATCAAAATGGATGCTGCATGAGTAAGCTTCTCTCTCGCGCAAGCCAAATGAAAGTAGTCACAGCAGGTCACAACCACATGATAAAACGAAAAAGTCAACTAAATATGTCTTCCGAGGATTCCAAAACATCCAAGAAAGGGCTAAATAAAGAAACTTGTAGCCAAATAGTTCACTGAATAGTTTGAAAAGAGAAATAGTTCGACAAAGTTTCATCTTGCTGAGCGAAATAGGCAAACAGGCCGAACCGGCACTTTTGGTCGCTTTTCAGTTTTCACCTCAAAATAAAACCAAAAATATTCCCTGGACCAAATAATGTCGTTACCTTTATCAATTTCATTGAAGGTAATTTCATCAAATCAACTTTTGCGATACATCAGTGAAAATTTTCGTCAAGCTTAGCCAAGAGAGGTCTTCTTGAAGAGTTGATAAATAAAGAATGTTTTCGACTCTTCGTCGGAAGTGGAACCAAAAACAAGTGATTGACACTTGGTAAATTTCAGTCTCTCATTGGTGTAAATCGGCCAATACGATTATTAATGCGACTTAAGCGGGAAAGTTTCTTTATTCTTTAACAAAACACGATTTAGCATATGACATATGCGCCGTTTGTACCATGCACTATAGTTGGTTTTCTCAGCCACTTAATTCATGTTTGTGGTGTTTTTAGGCAGCTTTGTTATGGTGTGTCAATTGGTGTGAGCTTTGTTTGGTATAATGGTTCTACCAGTATGACCATTTTCATTGTAAGTGATTCATTGTATGTAAACTTTGTATTTGCTTTACAATACAGCCATCCGTATTTTTGTGATATTGAAGTAAATTTCCAAAAATGCTTACAAATCGTTATAGCTGCTGCCCCCACATCTTTGAATATTTTAAGGTTTTGCAAATTGAGCAATGATACAATGTCAATGCTCATTAAATCTGTACTATGTAAAGAGTAATTGCTGGGATATGCATAATCTTAATCACCATGCATATTGAATTTACAGAAATCCTTATATCATGCTGATTGGACTGTAGTGATTGCAAAGTATAGAACAAAATTCATGATGATAAGGACTGAGAACCGGATGAAATTGTTGTCAATGAAGGAAACAGTGGTTGAGATGGCAAAGGTCAATGGAGCGAGAGTTACGGGTTTGTTCTGAGAAAGGCTTTGGAGTTGAAGTCAAGTGATGGCAAGCGTTGGTTTGGTGATAAGTGAAGCATGTCATGAGATTGGGGCAAAATGGCAAATGGTAGTAAAAACTATTGGAGCTAAAGTCGAGTAAAGCTGGCCAGAAATAGAAACATGGATCAATACTGGTAAATATACAAAAATATTCATATTAATAATTATATCTTTATACATTGTCCATCTTCATTATCTTTGAAGAGGTTGTTTCATTATTGTCATGTTGGAATTTATATTTTAGGTTGTTTGAGGCTTTTAACATTGATTCAAATTGCATGCCCAAAAGACAAGATTTTTAAACTTTCCATCATCCTTCATAATATACCCAGTTGATTTTGCACATTAATTTTAGTAGGCTAAAGTGTGAAAATAATTGCATGTCTACAGTAGCAAAACAAGCCATTTTCAGTCCTACAATGCAAATATTTTTGTCTTCGTTTATTGGATAAACATTGAATGGAATTAATGTTCTGGAGAAATTAATTTTGTTAAAAAATTTGCATTGTTGGATCAAAATTGGGTTGGCCTTGCTACTAAACATCTGACTTTTACTTGTTATTCTATGCTTATAGTAATGCTGATATTGGTACATGCCAACTTTTCATTCCCCCAGAGAGCCTACACCGCATTTCCCTGACTTTCTTTTTGAATATCAATTCCAAGAATGTTAAATTTCAGCTCAAGCTTTTATAGGATATTCCAAAAAGAAATGACACTTTAGAAATGATTATATACTGTTGCAACACAGGAACTGTGAAAGCCTGACAAGGGAATTTAATGAAATTCTATTTATAAAAACCATTTAATTGAATTCCTTTGTATGTAGTCACGAATGTTAACATTCGCGAGTGGTTTATGAAAAATGATAATGTCTATAATGTCACCTTTTGTCAGGAAACTCTGGAAAACGGAATACGAAAAGATACATTTGGACTGATGTGGTATGACATCATATATGTATCTGGCCGTGAGGGGAATTCCCAATGTGAGTATTCCCAATTTCTGGTAAACACTGTATTTATAATTTGGCGTACTGGTGTCAAATCCATTGACAAATTTTTTCTCGTCGAGTTCCTTACAATTTTGCACGAAAGTTTATGATAAAAATGCAAGTCGATTGGAAAGACATTTGTCGAAGACAACGTTATTTTATCCGAGAAATTGACCCATTGAAAGTGATAAGGGTTATGCAAGATGTTTTAACACCAGAAGACTGCGAGAATATAAGAACAGCGTGTACGAATCACGGAACGATTATTGCTGTTCAAAACCATTTGCTTGAGCGATTGAAAAGACGTGGTCCCAATTCATTGCCGAAATTCGTTTTAGCATTACGGCAAACCGGACAAGAACACGCTGCTCAACTTATTGATCCTAAGATGAAAGGTATCAATCATTCATAATAGGGTCTTTACCGTTAAGTATTGATTTAGGTTTTTGTACTGACTAAGCGATGAAGACGCAAGAAAACGAAGTCAACAAAGAATTTATCACATGGCTTTGTTTGATTGCAAGTTTTACTTCACAGTTTTTTGTCGTTGTTTTGTTCGACGTTTATAACTTCCTCTTGAAACGTGGCATGTACTATGTAAGGTTACCATAATTCTTAGAAGCCTTATCGCTAATGCGCATATTTGTGATCTACAATAAATACTATGTAAGGCCTTAGTTAGAATGGGGGGGGGGTGGTGTTTATACATATATTCAGCTGAGTCCGACTGAGTTCTTCAGAAATACAAATCATTTTCATGAGAAATTGGTACACAAATAAGCACTTCCACCTCAGTTTTACATAAGGCCCTGGTGCCATACATATGTGTCATTTTTGTTTACAGTAAAACTTACTTGGGAAGTGTCCTCATCACTGTTTGATATTTCAAGCATTTATTGTTTTGGCTCTCTTAAATTTTAAATGAAAGAGGAATTTCTTGATAAGGCAAGATAACTTGACCAGACCAAAAACCAACCAATCAGCATGTGCCATAAATGTCAGCCATATGACAAGCTGTCGTATTTATCAAGGGGTTTAGTATTGTAAGATAATTTATGCTTAATTGCTTTGGGTAGCTGTAAATTCTTGTAAGAAGCAAGTTTATAAATGCATTACAGTTGTGTATTGAAAAATATGGCTTTTTGCCAACTGGTACCCCTATTTGATGGTAACATGTATTTTCTAGTGAGCGGAGTTCTTTCAATTTGTGGTAGGGATGATAGAGTTCTGGAACCAGGTGTTGCCGCAGGTATTCATTCTTCCTATAATGTTATGCAACAAGTTTATATGTATATAAAACTTAGATGTTATTTTCAAATGTCCTTTTTGTTGAAATTATTAGACATCAGAGTAAACATTCAATTGGTTGATTTTGCTGATGACCAGTTACAGAAAGTAAAAAAATTGTGTGAAAAATATGAAGTCTCTCACAGTGAAGATACATTATCCCTTCGTCAACATTTTAAAAGTTTTCTTGGTGAAGTAAGTGTCCTGAAGCTGGTTTTTGACTTTTTAATGTTCTTTCATTGCAGTATATATACCATTGCTTTCCCTTTGTGTAGGATACATGTGACTTTATTTCACTTGTCAAGACAAATTGGTCAGAACAAATGCCATTAATTTTAATTTTTCGTATTTCGAACCTTGATGTGGCTTGTGTACTCATGAAAGAATATGAAAATGGCAACCTCAAGTCAAGCATTATTAAAAAGCTTTGCAGTTATAACTTTGGAGACATTTGTTTTCAAGATTTGAACTTTAACCTTGTCATTGAACCAGATGAATCAAAGAAAGTGATTGAAACACTCAATAACTCTGGTGATTGTGAGTGCAAATGTTTTCTGTTTTTTTTGGCTCATTTTCTTTAATATAGTTTCTATATTGTAAACTGAATGCTGTTGATAGGAAGGCCCACAATTTTATCAGACTGACTTTTCTTACCTCTATCACTTTATGGATGGACTTTTTATACATATTTTACAAAAGCCGGTGGGTTATGCCACACACACACACCTTAATATGTCATCCAAATGGAGTTAATCACATGTTTTTCACCAGTGCTATTTGCAAGCTTCATAATGCACCTAACAATGAGGTGAAAAGATTTCACCACAGGAAAAAGAGAATTTTTGAATTTTTTTGCTTTGATTTGGAAAAATGTGTTTTGGCTTCAGACAGAAGAAAGTTGAATCAGTTGATAATCCAGTTTTGTTTTGTTTGATAAATTTTCTATTTTAAGACATCCTGTATCTTAGAAATTATTTTGCCAACCGACTTTTACTTCATCCTAGACTTCGAATGCTGTTTTGACAACGTTGATTTTTTCCATTTATAATGTTATGGCGTTTATCTTTTTTGCAAGTTTCTGGTTTGTATTTTAGCTGTTGGCGTTCTTGTTGACGGTATGGAAAAGTTGGAGCTGAAACTACGCGACTACCAGGATGATCTCGTGAAACCTGCCTTAGAAGGAAAGAACACCATCATTTGTGCACCAACAGGGAGTGGCAAGACATTTGTTGCCATGGAAGCGATTAAGCAACACGTGAGCAGCTCGAGGCATAAATTTGTCGCCTTCATTGTTGACAACGTCAGCCTTGTGGATCAACAGGAATGTAATTTAGCACAATATCTTCCCGAGTCTGTTGGAATCTCGAGTCTCTGTGGAAGTAATTCGCACGCATACTCTCTGCCTCAACTCCTTGAGGAATATCAAGTGATAGTATTGACTGCGCAGGTCTTGGTTAATTCCCTGAAGAGAGATAAAACAGATGCACCGGGAGAAAAGGAGCTAACAATTGGGCAGTTTTCTCTCCTTGTGTTCGATGAATGCCATCATGCAATAAAGAAACATCCTTACAATGAAATCATGCGATTTTATTTGAGGCAAAAATTGGAGGTGTGTGTTTCTTGTTGAGGTCGTAGGCCGTTACGTGGAGCGTTTCGTTTGCAATTGAATATTTTTGCTCATTAGCCTTTCTTGTTAACATTTATTGCAGGGTATTGCTCAACTTTTATTTTCGATATTTTCATTCTCAGAAACCCAATTTAAGCCGACCTCAAATCATTGGTCTCTCAGCCTCGCTCGGTATTGGAACTGGTAACAATGGTTCTGGGTTTTCGGCAGAGAAGCATATTATGGAGCTCTGTGCGAACTTAGATGTACAAGAAATAAAGGTTTGTAAGTTAACATTCACCAATATGCACCCTAATTATCGCAACATTCCTACTCGTTGAAGAAATCTTTATTATTTATATACTAAAATTCAGTGTGCTCGCATGTGTCGATTCCCCGAATCTTTTGGAAACCACGAGTTTGCGAATGTTTCGTTGAAAGTCTGAATGTATGTCCTTTTATTTGATTTTTCATAGCTCTACGAGGGAACACAACTTGCTAGTACTCGCATTATACCATTTTCCCGGGAACAAGAGAACGCGTTCAGAGCAACTGTCGATTCTGTCATGCGGCGAATAGAAGTCATGATTTCCGAGAAAGATTTTGAAAAATCTGGCTCCATCCTCACGGAAGTCAGCGATATGAAAATTGGGTGGTGGAGATGCTCAAGAAAGAACTGGGGCGCGATCTTTATTGCGTGTTTTGAGCATCTAAAAGAATACAACAATTCTTTAATGATTAATGAAGATGTCCGCTCTGAGGATGCCCTTCGCTATCTAAAGGAAAATATAAACTATAAGTCATCGACCGATATGGAAAGAAACTTTGTGTGCTATTTGACGATGCTGTTTCGGCTATCGAATGCTCCATCCCAGTGGTGAGTCCAGGTTTGCAAGTGTTGGAGCAACGTCTTGTTGATAAGTTATCTGGCGATGGCAACAAATCGAAGGGAATTATTTTGTGAAAACAAGGCTGGTTGCTTTGCTCTTCTCAACTGGCTTAGATGTTCCGCGTCTTTAGAAGGTTGGTGAACAATCCCTCTGTTGTGATTGGTTGCGGCCAAAGAAATGGACTCGGTACGTATTATACAGAAAAGTGTGATGATGAACTTGGGATAATGCTAGATGGCAACAGGTTGATTGCAACGCAATTCGTATGAGAAAAAGGATATTTCAGCTTTTTGTTACATCGCAAGTGTTTCCCCCATTTTAAACACACGTGATTCCAGGCTCCCCTGAGCCTTTGTCCAGAACGTCTTTCGCTAGTCTTAGTTTGGAGTAGTCATGTCGTAGGATGTACAAACTCTCCAAAATTCCTAGTTCATAATTCTTAGTTCTTAATTTCATTCAGGTGGTATGCCCAAAGCCAAACAAGATCGGGAGATAAGAAACTTTCGCAACGGTGACAGCAACATCATTGTAGCCACATCAGTCCTACTTGAAGGTATAGATGTCCCTGATTGCAATTTCGTCATCAACTATGGCATGCCTGGTAACGAAATAACGTTTATGCAAGCTCGTGGCCGAGTAAGGTCACGAGACTGGTCACGACAGTTGGCAATACGAGATTATCGTACCACATGATCAAGCCACGATGAAGGAGCGATATGGAAAAGGAGAAATTAATGAAAGACGCACTTTTTGAAAGTAATAAATCAAAACAAAGAAGAATTTGACAAACAGGTAAGAGTGTCCTCTTCTCTGTCGTAGTTTGCTAAGAATTACAGTGTATATTGAGTCATACATGCTTACACTAGATCAAATAAGAAGAATTGTCGTTCATCCTCCACCTGAATATAATATAATCAATTAGAAATAAAAGATGTTTACTGTGTTTGCACAGGCTTATGAAAACTGAGGAGAACTCAAGAACAGATCAGTTTAAGCCCGAGACCGAAGGGCGACAGTTTGTACCTGCTCGAGAGTTCTCAAAAACTTCGCCGAGGTTTGCATAAGCAATGCAAACACCAAAAAATTTCATTTATTCTTTTATAAAATGACTATAATGCGAAACGGAAAAATTTGAAACAAACAATTTAATTTTTCCTCAACATTTATTCATGGTTCATTTGTGAATTTTCTTTGAATGATTTGATTGGTTGAGCTCACATCGGTTATTTTATGAACAATTATTACGAAACATTTGCAAGTGACAATGAGTGCAAAATACCTTGCTAACATTTTGTTATTAGTGTTTGATTATGTAACATAAAGGAGGAGGGAAAATTGACATTTCTCCTTATTTGCAGTTTACTAGAATTACCGATTTTTTGTTTATGAAGTGCAACTTCGTCGTTTCATGTCAAGAGTACACTTTTGTGACTTTAATTCAAATTGTGCATGGACAAGGTAAATTACAAGATTTTAAGAAGCTATTAACCGCTTAGAGAAACACGTTGCAGTTTTAAAAGAGAAGATCAACCATTCAAAACCAGTAATACTTTTCTTAGATATGTAGATACTTTTAATTCTTATTCAATTATTGTAGATGTAGTATAAGGTAGAATGTTTATTTTATTTGTTATTATCGGTATGTGTTTACATATGTATACATACAACGTGTATATCAATGAAATTCCTCCATCTATGTATAGAGATATGAATACTTGTAGAAATATATTTTCTTGGATAGAGGAAGAGTCATATTTCGTTGTAACTTTAATGTTTTTAGTTGGTCGAAATCCAACAGAAAATACTCGAAGAGTACAATAAAATGTCGACTAAGAATCCTGCCAAAGATGTCACAGATGATGTAAAATTGTTCTGCAAGAAATGTGACGTGTTTGCATGCAAGGCAAAAGACATAAAGAAATGCTATACTTCTTATATTGTCCCCGATTACACGGAAAATCTTCCTAACGCCAGCTTTGAAGCCATTGAAGGCGCCAAGCACCGGTAGGTGTCCTGGATTTGATATGATCGGGAAGACAGTCTGCAAGAATTGTGGTTTCAACTGGGGTAAACGAGCAAGGAGCGAGCACGGGATTTTCCACTTCTGAAAATTGCTAATTTCCGCGTTGAAATTGGTACTTTAAATGGAAGACGATTGTACAAAAGTGGTCTGACTTTCCCTACAAATTGGAGAAATTTGATTCTGCTGTGCATTTAAAACCGAATAGATATCTTAACAGAAGTCCACTCGTCTCGGAACCTTTGATGTTTGTGTCCCCACTTTTCTGGAGCAAATTCTAAGCAGACACGCCTTCCAGCAAGATACGCTAGATCGCAATAGAAAATATAGATGTTTTCACAAATGTAGCGTTTTGCACTACAAAAGCTTTGAACTTTATATTCTCTGCAAGATGATAACTCTTTATAAAAATTTCGGCAAACTTTAGCTTCAAACGTGAATTATCAGTACAATACTATTCCGTATTGATTTTGTGAAAGTATCTTGCTGGGAAGTCACGCATGCGCAGTAAAAAAATTAGGCACGATTTTAGCCGAGTGAGCCTTCTGTTAGATGTCTATTCTGTGCCCGACGAAAACAAAAATTAATAAAATAGAGACTTTGTCGTGGTGACAAATCTGAAAATAGTTCTAAAGATAGCAAATAGCATAGTGAATGGTAAAAGTAATACGATAAGTTGATAGTTCTTAGAAGAACTGTTTTAGTAAAGAGCACTAACCCAATAGTTCTAAATTAAACGACACGATGCATTTCGGCAGACTACTCCTCAGGTTTCGACGTCTGCTAAATGAAAATTTACAATCTACCGATATTTATAATGCCAAGAAGAGTGTACGTCATCTCCAAAGGGAGATGACGCTCAAAAGCAAAATTGCCCTACATGAAATTCATTGATATAGAAAAACACTATATGCCTGGATTGCTAGGCTAACACATATTGTTAAGGTCAAAATTGCGCTTTTCAATATTCATATTTATGTTTTGTTGATTGAGTGGTATTTTACCTTACCTTAACTATTTGTATCGATAAAATATTTTGTCCATGTGGTCACATGCGGTAAGATAGAAAAGCAATAATCTTTAGCAAATAGTTACAAGTCTTGATAGTTAAAAATGAAGCAAGAAATAAGCAGGAAAGTAGGAAGACGAAGGCCTTAGGGCCGGGGCTTATCAGAAGATTTTCTACCAACAGAAAAATAATTTTATAATTGTGATCTTGTAAGTTTTTCGAGCATTGTAGTTTACAATCATTATGTTTAAGAAATGTTTAAATAATAGTCACATAAATCATGTGACTATGAATTGATTAGTGATACATTAATGAGATCAGTAGGAATTTGTCAATTGATTGCAAAAGAGTTAGCAAAGACAACATGTGCAACATGGTAAATATGGCATGCAATTTGTAAATTTTTCATGCATGCTTTCAATCTCAATATTCTTGTGTTTCTATGAAACATGTCGAAGGCCTACTGCATGTTCATCATCACCTCAGTCTTTGCTTCACAGTTCCATGAAGAAAGCTTTAGGGATTGGATGTATTTCTTTGTCAATAGAAGTAGCACAAGATGCAGAAGACACTTCATGCTTAAACTTTCACTCACGCCGTATAGAAAAGAGTTTATATAAAAAAAAGACACAATACTATTTTTAATGTGCTCGCTTTAAATGTTTGCCTTTATAGTTTTCCGTTATCGTGTGATGTTAAAATGTCACATTATTTCGCAAATACTTTATTCGAATAAACGTTGAAGCCAGAAAATGTAATACGGATGACTATAAATTATTGTCAGGAAAATTTTGATGTCATGTTAGCGCCTTTCTCCTGCCAAAAAAGTCAAATATGGTTTAGATGAAAATATATCTTTTACATATTTAAGTTATGGGCATCTGCTCTCATCTGACAGCATTATTGAAATAATTAGCAAACGAAAAGGTAAAGAGAATTTGCTTTGTAATAAACTTCTTGCTATTTGCTTGTTAAAATTCATTTTGTCGATAAAGTAATTAATTTTTCTACTGCTTAGGCCACAAAAAGACCAAATACTGCACGCCTTTCGAGTAGAAACGGCCCGACGCTTCCCCTTCAGCTCATAATTGGGAGTGATGCAACACTCCCAGCACCTCGTATGCCTACGGAAGGACAGTTTTTGTAAAATAGTGCATTTTAATAATCTTATAAACAATAATAAAATTAGATAGAGATAGTTTGAATGAAAATAGAAAATAGGAATGGTCGTACATATTAATTAATATTTTCTCTTACTACTTACGACTTGTGTTCACATAAAGCAATTTTACGTATGTATTTAATTCGAGAATCACATAAAAGTAGCCAATTTTAAATGTTTTGTAGACTATGATTCTAGCAAAATTCTCAATTATTTAATGCTAGAATGGGTACATAGCGTCCACAGCAAAATTTAAAACTAAAAACAAACAAAAATTCCACAAAAAAAGGAAAAGCGGCAGAAACTGCATTTTGAATGGCTTGTGAAGGCATGAATAAGATGTTCAAAAATAATTTTGATTTTACGGGACGTTTAATGCAAATTGTGTAAATTTCAGAAAGTAAACTGAGCAGATATGCGTAAGTTAAGTCTTTCTCAACTTACGTGAAATCTTTTCGTGCACGACTCTCAGCTTTCGTGACATTTTTTCATGCAAAACTCTCAGCTTACTTGACATTTTTTTCGTGCACGACTCTCAGCTTTCGTGACATTTTTCGTGCAAATTTGTCAGCTTATTTGACATTTTTTCGTGCACGACTCTCAGCTTTCGTGACATTTTTTCGTGCAAAACTCTCAGCTTACTTGACATTTTTTTCGTGCACGACTACCTCTATAAGATTCCTCAACAAATTGTTTCTAATTTAATTACATGCACTAATACTGCAGTTACATCATAATAGCATTGATAGCGTTAATATTGATTCCCCATAAACGTATTTTATTTACTGAATAAAATCTTTTATGGTAATTCTTATCCGTGACCCCTAATGCTCGCCCCCCGTAACTTCACATTCAGCAGGACACCCCCCAGTTGCGTCACTGATTGATTTCAAAAGAACTTACTACGGAAAACATGCATATATCTATTATTATCTTTATAGATTGTCCATCTCCATTGTCTTTGAAAAGGTTATTCCATCTTTGTTATATTGGAGTTGCATTTGAGAGATTTTTTAGATGTTTAAAGCATTTAAGGTTGATTCAACTAACATGTCAAAAAGACAAGGTTTTTAAAATTTTCCAATATCCCTTGTTAATTATGCATATTAATTTTTGTAGGTTACAATGGGAAAGTTGTTGCATGTCTACAGTAGCCAAGACAGCCCATTTTTAACTCCTACAATATGGGAAAAGCAATGAGTGGAATTTAAAGTCTTCTAAAATAGTGCATAATTTTGCTTAAAAAAATTGCATTGCTGGAGTAAATGGGCAAGATACATTTAGACTAATGTGGTATGACATCATATTTGTATCTGGCCGTGAGGGGAATTCCCAATATGGGTATTCCCAAAAAGTTTTTTTGTAACACTCAATGTCTATCTAAACATTTCTGTTAAATTCTGGATTTATAATTTGGCATACTGGTGTCAAATCCATTGACAATTTTTCTCATCGAGTTCCTTACAATTTTGCACGAAATTTTATGATAAAAATGCAAGCCGATTGGAAAGACATTCGTCGAAGACAGCGTTATTTTATCCGAGAAATTGACCCATTGAAAGTAATAGAGGTTATGCAAGATGTTTTTACACAAGAAGACTGCGAGAATGTAAGAACTGCGTGTACGAATCACGGACCAATTGTTGCTGTTCGAGACCATTTGCTTGGGCGATTGAAAAGACGTGGTCCCAATTCATTGCCGAAATTCGTTTTAGCATTACGCAAAACCGGACAAGAACACGCTGCTCAACTTATTGATCCTAAGTTGAAAGGTATATCATTCATAATATCAACTTATGAAAAGACTGTTGAGGTCTATATGGTGAAGTATTGACTTAGGTTTTTGTACTGACTGAGCGACAAAGACGTTAGAAAACGACGTGAAATCTTTTATAATATGGCTTTGTTTGATTGCAACTGTTTTTGTTGTTATTTTGTTCGACGTTTATATCTTCGCCTCGAAACGTAGCATTTTTTTTTCTGCGGGATAGTGAAAATCACTCGTTAGTGTCATTCATCACCACTGTTTGCTACATTTATTTTGTTGGCTCCTTTAGAATTTTGAACGAAAGATAAGTTTCTTGAAAAGACAAGGTGACTTGACCAGACCGCAAATCAACCAATCAGCATGAGCATTACCATTAATCTCAGCCATACGACAGGCTGTCGTAATTATATGGGGTTTATATTATTGTAAGATAATTTTATGCTGCTTTTGGCTCGGAGCAAGTTTATAAATGCATTGCAGTTGTGTATTGAAAACTATGGCTTTATTGCCCTAATGTGATGGTAAAGTGTATTTTGTAGTGAGGGGAGCTCTTTCAAATTGTGGCAGGGATGATAGAGTTCTGGAACCAGGTGTTGCCGCAGGTATTCATTCTTCCTGTAATGTTATGCAACAAGTTTATATGTATATAAAACTCAGGATGTTGTGTCATATTTTCTTTTGTTGAAATAACTAGACATCAGAGTAAACATTCAATTGGTTGATTTTGCTGATGACCAGTTACAGAAAGTAAAAAATTGTGTGAAAAATATGAAGTCTCTCACAGTGAAGATACATTATCCTTCGCCAACATTTTAATGGTTTTCTTGGTGAAGTAAGTGTCCTGAAGCTAGTTTTTGACTTTTTAATGTTGTTTCATTGCAATATATATACCATTGCTTTCCCTTTGTGTAGGATACACGTAACTTTATTTCACTTGTCAAGACAAATTGGTCAGAACAAATGCCATTAATTTTAATTTTTCAGATTTCAACCTTGATGTGGCTTGTGTACTCATGAAAGAATATGAAAATGGCAACCTCAAGTCAAGCATTATTAAAAAGCTTTGCAGCTATAACTTTGGAGACATTTGTTTTCAAGATTTGAACTTTAACCTTGTCATTGAACCAGATGAATCAAAGAAAGTGATTGAAACACTTGATAACTTTGGTGATTGTGAGTATAATTGTTTTTTGTTTCTTTCGCTTCATTTTCTTGAATAAGTATAATTTCCATATGGTAAACTAGATGGCAAATATACATAGCTTGATAGATCAGACAGTCACTTGTTTTTAAACTGGTGATATTTGGAAGCTTTATGATACATCTTACAAGTTACAATGACATAATATAACTTCCACAATACAGGAAAATAAACAGATGAGCTTTTTTATTCTGACAAAGAATTTTTGGGCTTCAGATAGGATCAAGTTGATGCTTTAGTGTGGTTTTGTTTGATACATTTTCTTTTTTATCACATCCTACACTTGAGTTGAAAGTTATTTTTGAAGCCATTGCACTGACCTTTAACTTGACCTATACTGTAAATAGTGCTTTCCACGTATGTTTTTTGGTAAAGTTTGTTGCATTTTTTCGTTTGTGTTTAGCTGTTAATGTTCTGGTAGTGGGAATGGAAAAATTGAGCTTGAAACTACGCGACTACCAGAGTTATCTCGTGCAACCAGCCTTAGAAGGAAAGAACACCATAATTTGTGCACCAACAGGTAGTGGTAAGACATTTGTTGCCATGGAAGCGATTAAACAACACGTGTGCAGCTCCGGGCATCGGTACGTTGCATTCATTGTTACCAACCTAAGCCTCGTTTATCAACAGGAATGTAATTTGGCACAATATCTTCCCGAGTCCGTCGGAATCTCGAGTCTCTGCGGAAGTAATTCACCCACATCTTCTCTGCCTCAACTCCTTGAGGAGTATCAAGTGATAGTATTGACTGCGCAGGTCTTGGTTAATTCCCTGAAGAAAGATAAAACAGATGCACCAGGAGAAAAAGAGCTAACAATTGGGCAGTTTTCTTCTTGTTTTGACGAATGCCATCACACGATCAAGGGTCATCCTTACAACGAAATCATGCGATTTTATTTGCGGGAAAATTGAGGTGTGTGTTTCTTGTTGAGGTCGTAGGCCATGTGGAATTTTGTTTTGGAACTTAAAATGTGCTCATTTTGATTGATTTTGTAAGTTTGTATTGCATTTTTGAACAATTTTTATTCAAATGATATTTTCATTCTTAGAGTCCCAATCCCTGTCTGCCGCAAATCATTGGTCTCTCAGCTTCGCCCGGTATTGGAACCAGTTCGGCAGAGAAGCATATTATGGAGCTCTGTGCGAACTTAGATGTACAAGAAATACAGGTTTGTAACTTAACATTCACCCATATGCACTCTACTTATCGCAACATTCCTACTCGTTGAAGAAATCTTTATTATTTATATACTAAAATTCAGTGTGCTCGCATGTGTCGATTCCCCGAATCTTTTGGAAACCACGAGTTTGCGAATGTTTCCTTGAAAGTCTGAATTTATGTCCTTTTATTTGATTTTTCATAGCTCTTCGTGGGAACACAACCTGCTAGTACTTCCATTACAACATTTTCCCAGGAACAAGAGAACGCGTTCAGAGCAACTGTCGATCCTGTCATGTGTCGAATAGAAGTCATGATTTCTGAGAAAGATTTTGAAAAATCTGCCCATCCTCACGGAAGTCAGCCATATGAAAATTGGGTGGTGGAGATGTGTAAGAAAGGACTGGGGCGCGATATCTTTACGTGTTTTGAGCATCTAAAAGAATACAACAATTCTTTAATGATTAATGAAGATGTCCGCTCTGAGGATGCCCTTCGCTATCTAAAGGAAAATATAAACTATAAGTCATCGACCGATATGGAAGAGAGACTTCGTGTGCTATTCGACGATGCTGTTTCGGCTATCGAATGCTCTAGCCCAGTGGTGAGTCAAGGTTTGCAAGTGTTGGAGCAACGTCTTGTTGAAAAGTTATCTGGCGATGGCAACAAATCGAAGGGAATTATTTTTGTGAAAACACGGCTGATTGCTTTAGCTCTTCTCAACTGGCTTGAAAGTACTACTTCTTTAAAAGTGTTGGTGAACAATCCTTCTGTTGTGATTGGTTGCAGTGGTCAAAGTAATGGAGGGTAAGCTAAATTCACGATGGTAACAGCTTACTCGCAACGCAATTTATATGAAAAATAGGATGTTTCAGTTGTTACATCGTTGTTACAATATTTTTCCATTTTTGAAAATGAATCTAGTTTGTTTGTGGATTTCACGTTGCGCATTTGATTATGAACACATTTGATTTCAGACTTCTTCGTCCAATACGTCTTTTGTTGGTCTTAGTTTGAACTGCTCGTGACGTAGGAGATAAAAATTCACCAAAATTCTTAGTTCTTAGTTTCATTATGTTTCATTCAGGTGGTATGTCGAAAGCCAAACAAGATCAGAAGATTAAAAACTTTCGCAACGGTGACAGCAACGTTATCATTGCCACGTCAGTCCTACTTGAAGGTATAGATGTCCCCGATTGTAATTTCGTCATCAACTATGGCATGCCTGGTAACGAAATAACGTTTATGCAAGCTCGTGGCCGCGTAAGGTCACGAGAGACTGGCGGCGACGGTTGGCAATACGAGATTATCGTACCAAGTGAACAAGCCAAGAGGAAGAAGCGTGATATAGAAAAGGAAAAAATAATGAAAGACGCACTTTTAAAAATTGAGAATCTAAACAAAAATGAGTTCGATGAATTTGAGAGGCAGGTAAGGTTGTGTCATCTTTTTCTCCGTCTTTTAAAATTTCCTTAGTTTTATTTTATATTTATGAAATGTAACTTCGTCACTTTGCATCGAGATTCTTTTAATAGCATCATCTCATCTGCCGAAATGCTTGTCGTGTTTGAGCTATCTTTTTCATTTTGGTTTTCAATCGTAATTTTTTTAGGAGCTTCTCAGTTGTCGTTCACGATGACAAATACACTGTTCAGAACAAAATATTAGCTGTTGATCAGTAACACAAGTCTCAGGAAGTAGAATTGTGTTTGTCGGCTTGAAAAATAACAGAATTTAAAAATGTCCTTGTTTAGAGCTAATTTTGTATGCTTAGTGAGAAAAAACTTGTTTGTGAAGATTAAATTTTTTTCTTTTTCTTTTCAGTTGCTCAAAATCCAACACAAAATACTCGAAGAGTACAATAAAATATCGACTAAGAATCCTGCCAAAAATATCACAGATGATGTAAAATTGCTCTGCAAGAAATGTGGCGTGTTTGCATGCAAGGCAAAAGACATAAAGAAGGTTGACACTTCATATTGTCCCCATTACAAGGATAATCTTCCTAACGCTATCTTTTCAGCTGATGAGGACGCGAAAAGTACCGGTAGGTGTCCTGGATTTGATATGATAGGAAGGACCGTCTGCAAGAAGTGTGGCCTTAACTGGGGTAAACGCGCAAGAAACGAACACGGGGAGTTTCCGCTGCTGAAAATTGATGGGTTCCTTTTTGAAGGTGGTGACCTAGATGGAAGACCTTCGTACAAAAAGTGGTCCAAATTTCCCTATAAATTTGACGAATATGATCCTACTGTTGCACCCTAAAACACTGCATCCTGTTATCTCTTGAATGGAATTTTCAGTGGGGGCGGAGGAGGTATCGTTGTAGCTACTTTTATTTGAAATGGAAAAATAGTATTAGTGGAATTGTACATTATAATGATTTTATCAATAAATAGTAGGTGTCACAGAAAATCGGCCCCCTGAAAAACTTATACTTTTATCTCAAAATTTGTGAAACTGGGTGATCTTTAAGTTATTACAAGTTATTCCGATTTTACAAAGTATATTATACCCCATGCGATAGAGGATTTTAAAAGATCCATTACAAAAAATAAAATAATATGTTTTTATCGATGACGTTTTGACTTTAGCTTTAGACATCTTCCGATACAATGGAAGCTGTAAATTTGGTCAAATGTTTTAAAGCCAGTCGCACAATAACCATCGCATTTTCACGCGTCGATCAAAGAACAGGTAGTAAGAAAGCTTATGACTCAGAAAAACAGTCTGCAAACACTAAACACAAATAATTGAACGACTCACACATTTCACAAACACGTTCCGCCAACACAATCCGCATTACAAAACACTCAACAAACTCAACAAAAATCTGTCGGCGTCATAAATTGAATTTTATGCACAGAATAGAACTTATGCCAGTTGACTGTAATATCAACTGGAACGATAACTCTTATAGTTTTGTCCCATGATTGGATGAAGCCAAAAACATGCAAGTAAATTTTGATCAACTCCCCCCCTGAAATAATGCGTGTTTTCTTAGAGACAAACGTTTGTTTTGCCGTATTGACCGTTGAAAAACGTGAAAAATTATTTTTTGTAATTTTTTGACTAGTTTTGAGCTTGGAAATTGCATCTGCACTTCTGAATTTTTTCTACGGAGAGATATTTTCGAGGAGAAACGTAATCGGCAAGAATCGATGGCGATTTATCGACTGTTGGGACTGCCTCAATTGTTTCGCCCAACAATTCACAATTTATAAAATTCAACTTTCAAAATCTCAGAAAACGCAATTTCCTATGAAATTCCATTCTCCGGGCCAAATTTCCTGGGGCATTTTTTCGGGGAGACACAATTCCTGTGACACCGATCTTTTTTCTTGGGATGTGACTGATGATAATAATTGCTTTCCCGCGTTTAGAGTAGATTCCCGATTATTTTCTTTTATCGGTGTGAATTTTTCTTGATGAGATTTATCCTGCTGAGCAGGTTGCGACTCGCGAACGGTGATCTTGGGTTTATAATGCAAATAAAAGCTATCACGTGACTTCAAAGTATCAACAATAAATGCAAATGAATGAAAGCTGTCTGAAAAAACAGGTGTGTGATTACACTTTTCCATATACCTGCTTCGTTTTAAGGAGAAAAAATGTCTGGAAACTTTTCTGCTGAAATCGTGCTGAAAGCTTAAGCTTAAGCACTCGACTATATTGTTCATCTTATTTGTCAAGGTGAGTGGCCGATGATTTAGAACCCAATTCCCTAGATGTCTGACTACCGAGTCAAGGTGATGCAAGGATATCATCGTTAATAGTGGCAAAAGCAAAACTCTTTACAAGAAATATGCTAAAAGAATGTTAGAAAACCAAGCATGTCAAACATTTTACCAATTCAACTCTGCAACAGTATATCAAAGCAGATTTTGCCATTTTACTCGTACGTATTGGCAGTTTTGCCACCTCTCAAGATGGCGGCTTGCCTCACTAACTTGTAATATGCCTTAAACTAAAATACCTGGAACGCTACCTGAAGCAAATAATATAATTGAAGCTAAATCTTACACCCAGATACGCGAGATTTACACCCAGACACGCGTGTGTAGTGTTTCGAGATTCTCTCGCGGAGTGAAAATTGATTGATTCCACACGCGTGTCTGAGTGTAATCTCGCGTGTCTGGGCATAAGATTAGGCTTTAAAAATTATTAGGCTTTTCTATTACGGGTAGCGTTCCTTGTATTTCAGTTCAATGTAAATATAGAATCTCGGCGGAGTCAGGTATCTAGTAGACTGGGTTCTACCTTATTGTGTGGGTCTTATTCATTAGGTGTGGATGTGATTGATCAAATTCATCTGCGTCATTCATTAATCAGAGAGTGTCAATTTGTTTTATGATATTGTTTTTACAGGTTCTTAATAAGAAAAATTTGAATGAATTTAAAAGTTGTTTCTTCGTTCTCATAGCAACTGTACCTTAGCACGTAGCTAGTGTTAGAATTTTCAAAGAGGTAGTACATTGTATTATCAAAGGAGCGTATTTCATCAGTAAGACTTCTGCTACAGAAAGAGGTTAGTGAAATATTTCAAAGTATGTATCGTACGTTATGTCTAAAATCTCACATAGCCACTTTTTTCAGAATTTGTTTCTCTTAATTTCATTGCGTCGATCACCTGCCAGGGCGCGTCATGTTGATGTTGAGCAAACTTCAATGTTTTCAGTTTATGATTTCACCGTAAAAGACGAAATTCGTCACATAAAAAGTATTTGTGCCCCTAGGAAAACGTGGAATATTATATTATTAAGCTCGTACTTTTCCATACAGCTAAGCATTTTTGTCTTCCTCGTAGTTAAAGAGCGTTTCCAAGGTCAAATCTCGAGAGTACTTACTTAGATGAAATGTTTGAAAAGAAAAAAGTATTCTTTTGACAAAGTTCCAGTAACATCAATTTTGGAAGGCCCAACTAACATGGTATCATGAACTGAGTTTCTAAAAACCCAGCCGTAAATGCAAATATACACTGCTCTTAACGCGTAAAAATCCTTTTTTATGCATGGTGCTACAAGGCAACCATAAAATAAATCATGAAAGTGTTAAAAATAAGCACTAGTATTTTATATTCGTCGATGAATGCTGAAATTCATAATCTGTGCCTTATGAAGCAACGGTTTCCTAATAAATTACATTTTAGGAGATATAAATCCTTGATCTTTTTCATGTCGATCGAGTAAAAAGAAACCGCACGAAGCTAATAACGGCTGTCTTTCAGACATTGTTGTCTGCTGTTCGCGTATGAACGGAATTTTGACGTGAATTAGACGTGATCACGTGCCTGATTTGATGTTTCAGCGTCCTTCACTTGTAGCGTGGGCGAGATCAATCGGCGTTTTAAATTTTTAATGTGGGACTAATTACGTCATTTATGAATACTTACTTACGTAGTTCAAAAGACATTACTGAACAATTAGCTATATAATTCACAAAATCATTTTTGTACGTAGAGTTGTTTGAAACATCATATTCTCTTGCTACTTTCGAACAACGATGTTTATCATCAAGAATATTTTACATTTTAACGATACTCTCGGATGATACTTGTTTAAAATCGTCACTTCGGCAACGGCGGTGTTTTCATTATATGCTAAAACATGCTGTGGGTGGAAATTAATTGATTTGCAAAGTTCATCTTGAATTATGATAAACGAGTAGCAGCATTGTTCAACAGATAGTTCTTCGGTAGCGTTTCATCTAGTTTATAGCTAACTAGAGACAATGTTACGACAGCGCTATTAACTTACTTTGAACGTATGTCTGACTTCTAAAGCCGATTCTAACAAGATGATTAGGCATATAATTTTTTTCACCTTCAAAAAGAGTTTCTTTCTTAATTCGTACGTGAACTTAAAAATATGAACAGTGAACTAAATTATGATTGACGGAGATGAATTTCATTTTATTAAAAACTTCAAATCCTGGTACAGGAGTTTGAAAATATCGCGCAAAAGTTTCCTTTGAGGGATTTTGCTTTCCGTGATTACTTTTTCCTGGCTGAGTCTGAGCATGATGTCATGGTAGGAATGCAATTAACTTTTAATATGTGGTGTTGTTAGCTATAGCAACCGTCATTACTAGTTATTGTTCAGTTTCAGCAGTTGACACGGAGCTAGCTATCCTCACCTTGTTAACGTCTATTTTGCAGAATAAAAAGTAACTAAACACAATCCAGTCGTCAATGAAAATGTTGAATAAGGCCGAGTACCTTTTTTTCGCAGGTAAGTTAAGGGCATCTGTAATTTCCAATTATACTAAAATGATTGTCTATGCTCAAGTGGCTCGTCGCTGTTTTCCACTTCGAAATGAAAGTTTGCATTCTCAAATTCTTTTCAAAAACTGTTTTTGCGTTCATTGATTCATATGTAAATTTAATACTTGTATTGTGTGATAAATTTAAAAAACCAAAAGATATTTACTGTGCTTGCACAGGCTTATGAAAGCCAAGGAGATCTTTTCCCTTTATTAAATTACACGAAAAAAAAACACGAAAAACTTCATCGTGAAGAATTTCTGCCAAAAAACCTTCTCAAATGAAGTTAGGTTTTAGGGAAGGTTTTGATAGACCTTTTTTCTCACAAATGCATCGTGCTGTTTAGTAATATTTTTCTACCATTCACCATACCCTATCAATTATGTTATCGAAGAGTGTATTTAATAAATTAAGTTAATTACCACGACTAAGCCTTTGGTAATTAAAATGGAGAATGTTTTGTGTTTACTATTATGTGAAGAGCAGCCATGGTTTTTGTGTTTGCCAGTGTAGCAAACTTGCAATGGCAACTGTAATCTTATAAAATTCCAAATAAGCTCCCAAAACATCCCCAGAGCACACTTTCGTTCCTAGATTCCCTGATAGAAGGACGAGTAACTGCGATCTCTATATAGACTGTGATTTCGTGAATTTCATACATTCGTTCCTAGATTCCCTGATAGAAGGACGAGTAACTGCGATCTCTATATAGACTGTGATTTCGTGAATTTCATACATTCGTTCCTAGATTCCCTGATAGAAGGACGAGTAACTGCGATCTTTATAAAGACTGTGATTTCGTGAATTTCATACATCAGAATTTTTGGTCCTATCCAATCGATTAAGCACACAGCTCTAACATGTTAGGAATTGGTTTAACTGGTTTTGATAACGAGTTTTTTCTTAATAACATACAATAATCAATTTATTTTTCCATGAAGTTATTCCTGAAAGTTTAAATGTTGAAATTTTTTCACTCAAAAACATTCAATGATTCAAAACTATTTTTCGAAATAAAAATTCCAAAACTGTCCTGGATCGTAATCGTTTAAAATTCGTGCAAGTCAGCTTTCCTAAACTCTACAGAAATCGAAGCTTCCGCACGCCTATGATTAAGACTATGTTGGCAAATTATCAATGAAAAAGCCAATAATTCTATTACTACGATATCATCACTTATGATAAATAAGAATTAGCATAAATTATATATGGACTAGAAAAATGTTTAATTTTTTATGTAGAACAAAAAAATTTATAAAGATGCGTCTTGTGTTTTAATAACAAGCAAATTTTTTTAGCTGTATTGCTGCATTGTGTAAAATTTGGTCAGCAATCTTCACAAATGCATCTGCCACAAATCCGTCCAGCATTTCGACATCACACAGCTATGCATCAAACATGGTGACATCATCCGGACATGCATCAAACATGGTGACATCATCCGGACATGCATCAAACATGGTGACATCATCCGGCCATGCATCTAACATGGTGACATCATCCGGCCATGCAGTGAACATGGTGACATCATCAGGCTATGCAGCTAACATGGTGACATCATCAGGCTATGCAGCTAACATGGTGACATCATCAGGCTATGCAGCTAACATGGTGACATCATCAGGCTATGCAGCTAACATGGTGACATCATCAAACTATGCAGCTAACATGGCGACACCATCAGGCCATGCAGTTAACATGGTGACATCATCCGGCCATGCAGCTAACATGGTGACATCATCCAGCAATGCAGCCAACATGGTGACATCATCCGGCCATGCAGTTAACATGGTGACATCACCCAACCATGCAGCCAACATGGTGACATCATCCGGCCATGCAGCTAACATGGTGACATCATCCGGCCATGCAGCTAACATGGTGACATCATCCCATGCAGCTAACATGGTGACATTATCCGGCCATGCAGTTAACATAGTGACATCATCCCGCCATGCAGTTAACATGGTGACATCATCCGTGTAAATGTCAGCAATAAAACAACATCAGCCTATATTGCCGCTAGTCTGACTGCTACTTTGCCAACCCTTCTTTAAAGTCTACAACACAGTCAACGCAATCTCAAGTTACAAATACCACGAATAACACGCAAGTCTTACAACCAGCAGTGTCGAGAAATAGCATTGAGCCATCGAAATCAGGCAAGGAAGATTCATTTTGAACTTATTGTCTCTATCATTATAGTGCTAGCAATGCGCTTGTATGGATTTTCGCTCTCTTTTTGCCCAATGCTCTCTTTTAAAAGTTTCTTTCAATCATGCAAGAGCAGTAGTGTTGCCAGCATGCTAATGAAGTCCTGATTTTTTTCTGGCTCGCTCATTCAATAATATACTCTACATATACGAGGAAGAAAACCTGAGGGATGGCTACACTTTCTTTCATGAATGAGTTTTGATAAGAAAGTTTAACAGCTGCTTGTCTCCTTTCCAGCCTTGCGATGTTAAATCTGAATAATAGGATTTTCAATTCCTAACCACTAGATGAAAATGTTGAATGTCGAATTGGAGATGATCGGTAAACTACGGTGGCTCACAAGGGCCACCACACAAAATAAAAATATTAATACACACACAAAATAAAAATACACACGCAAAATAAAAATACACACACAAAATAAAAATACACACAAAATAAAAATACACACACAAAATAAAAATACACACACAAAATAAAAATACACACACAAAATAAAAATACACACACAAAATATGATTGCGGGCGCTTGCAGTGTCGGCTTACTCGGAATTGCTCGTAATTGATCGCATTTGTTTTCAAAGTTCTAATGGTTCCAACTTCCTGAGTACATAACAAAATTCACTGATTTCACTGTGATCAATTATTTCAAAGTTGCTTACGATATTGCTCCCCGTATTCTGGTTAAAATTAAGGTTAATGTGTTGTCCTTTGAAAGGACATTATTGCTCTAGCCTGTCCTGTATTTGTTATAAACAGCTTTGGGGTACTTGAAGTTGAAGTTAACGGACTTGCAGAGCTCGAAGGGCAACTGCTTGAAGAGACGCTACTCGTCATTGACGCTTCAGAACATTTTGGCAAAGAAGTTAATCTTCCCAAACGCACACCGCATTTGTGACAAAAAGAAGCTTCGTCAAGTGATTGTGCACCACAGTTGGCACAAAACATAATTATGCCAGGATTATGCAAGAGCTTGCTTTCGATTCCTTTCCAAATGTAATTTCAAATGTTTCGCAGTTGAAACAGTTAAATACGACGACAAGTCGACCACATGTTAAAATCACAATTAGTGAATTACACATATCTGATTACAAACTGATAATATGATAGTCAGACCATCCGACACTGCAAGCGCCCGCAATCATATTTTGTGTGTGTATTTTTATTTTGTGTGTGTATTTTATTTTGTGTGTGTATTTTATTTTGTGTGAGTATTTTTATTTTGTGTGTGTATTTTTATTTTGTGTGTGTATTTTTATTTTGTGTGTGTATTTTTATTTTGTGTGTGTATAATGTATTTTGCGTGTGTATTTTTATTTTGTGTTTTAATTTTTATTTTGTGTGTGTATTAATATTTTTATTTTGTGTGGTGGCCCTTGTGAGCCACCGTAGTAAACTAGTTGTCACACTGATAAACTTATATTTTTTGGCCTTAGGATGGCTCAAAAAGTTTTTGAGATTTAGATTTCTGAAATGGCATTTTCAGCATTCCTGAGAAGCGAGAACCGTACAATTCGAAAATAATTTAGGTGTGCAAAAAATGTTTCAACGGAGAAAAAGGCAAAATCTCAAAATTTCGTGGTTAATAATTTTTGTGTGATAGACAAACAACTTAAAACATTTGCATTTATAATAAAATTGATCAAGGCCTTTGAACTTCTCGAGCTTGCTGATTTACACAGTAAACATTGATCGAACACGACAGTAAACATTGTCTCCACATTTCCACGTTTAGGTAATCAATATATTTTCACCTTTGCTAAATTTTAGAACTGCCCATTTTCCAACAAGGTCTTTGCATTTAGGAAAAGTGGGAGGCTTTATGTGGTACAAGGCTTTTAACATGACCGCAGTTTTGATGATTCAGAAGGCATAATTATTAATTTAGGGTTTCATCGTATCTTTTAGGAAACAACCAATCTGTTGCGAAGTCTTCGCGGGTGGTTGACAAGTCAGGTAAATTTTTGTTTTCAGTCATATTATGTAAAGTAATAAGTGCATAATATTGAAGGAATACGTCTATTCTTTCACCCAAGCCTATTTCCACAACATATTATTTCTCTCAAAACTTGTGGTGTAGAGAAGCGAAGAAAGATGATATCAGTGCTGTAGAACTAAATTTATCAGAGGGAGGCTCTCTTGACGTTTTGTTAACAGTGCCCTTTTAAAATTGCCAATTTCAAAGTGGAAGGGGCTCCTCCCCAAGCGCCCCCGCTTCTACACCGCTGGATGATATGCAGATATACTGTTTGTATTAATGTGAATTAATTACATTTTCACACCATTAATTAACATACAGAATTAGCAATGCATGAAAGCTATGGAATATTATGAAATTTTTCGATACCTTAGGCTGGCTGTTTGTAAAATGATGAAAAGATTTATTTATCGTCTTGATGATGATGTTTTTCCCATCTCTTTAAATGACACATTTGAAGTATTGTCTTTCTTCGTGTTTTTTTTAGTTTCGTGTTACTCGTGTGTATATAATGCATCGGGTGTATGCAATAAACAAAGGAAAACATGCCAGGAACCTAATGCAACCTGTTTTCATTTGGAAGTGGAGTATAAGAATAACACATCATTCCGCAGTAAAGGTTGTACTGCAATCAATGAAACGTGCTCCAATTTTTGTGCGTCTCTCAATCAAACTGGGCAAGTCAAGAATTGCTCTTCATCTTGCTGTAGTCACAGCTTGTGCAACGACAAGAGCGACAAAAACGTCAACAACGGCAAAGGTTCCGCTTTGATTGTCCATCTGGCTGGTTGGCTTCTTCCCTTTGCGCAAGGATTAATCTTTTTGATGGTAATTCGTTAAAATGTAAACGCGGCTTCTTCATTTTGACACATTTGCACGACAATTTAATAGCTATATTAGTGACATACCTGTATTGTGACATAACTGTAATAAATAACCGTGTGGTTTATATAAATAAAACAAAAGTCGGATGCTTTCTCTTTACGAACAACTGTCTACCTCATCAATGTCTTCACTTCACTATACGTTTGGTGGATGGGAACAAGGGGATCGGAAGGGTTGAAATATGGCGCGTCTTGAATGAAAACAACTTGTTCAAATATTGTTCAAATTCTTTGAATAAAAGATGACAACTTTTCAGTGAGCATTTTTTTGCAAAGCTCTTGGGCCTTGCGAAGTATTTTTTCTTTGTTCACCATGGATATGACATCGAGCATTGTTGTTGACGATGTGGGCGAGTTGGCCAGCATTTTGATCGATGGAAGCGATCATTTTGGCGTTTCCACAGTGTTGTTTGATTCCCACGAGGAGTTGATATGGGTGGGAAACGAAGGAGTAGGTGGTAATCATTGTGTACTTTATTGTGTACTTGTATGTGCGTACGAATACGGAATTTGGGCCAGGTTGTCCATGTTTCTGTCGCCGATGTTTGGTTTGTTGATGTTGGAACTAGATAAATCATTAGATTTATAATCTAAGTTCAATCACATTGCTTCAATGTCTAATGTGACTTCATTACCTCATGTTACCTCAAGACCACTATTTAACAGTTTACGACTTTGTTACACGAACATTACTTTATTTCCTCATGTTACATCACGACCATATTTACCTCCATACACCGATTGTTGCACCAGCATTCATTACTTCATGTTACCTCAAGACCACTATTTAACAGTTTACACCTTTTGTTACACCAACATTACTTTATTACCTCATGTTACATCACGACCATATTTACCTCCATACACCGATTGTTGCACCAGCATTCATTACTTCATGTTACCTCAAGACCACTATTTAACAGTTTACACCTTTTGTTACACCAACATTACTTTATTACCTCATGTTACATCACGACCATATTTACCTCCATACACCTATTGTTGCACCAGCATTCATTACTTCATGTTACCTTACAACGTACCATATATTACCTGGAAACACCTCATGTTATATTGATTAAAACTACTTCAATACCTTGTGTAGTCTCATGACCACATATTGCCTGTATACACCTCATGTTACACCAACATTAACTTCATTGTACTTCATGTTGCTTCTATATTTTACATCAACCTCAATATATTTCAATTTTACATGTTCCTTCAGGACCACATATTTACAACTTTGATAACATGAACATTATTTCAATACGTCGTTTTACTTCATAAACTGTCACTCGAGAATAGATTTGTGTTAAATAAGAAAATAAGTAATCTTTTCATTGTTAGTTATCTTCTATTTGCACTTTTTTTGCTCACTAAGTTTTAGATGAACTTGTGATGCTATATATCCGTATGAAAATTTGTTTTGTCATGTCTTATTATAATTATGTGTGCAATGGGAAGTTTATTACCAATTTACATTGAATAATCTGCTGTAGGGTCATATTGCTTCATACTTTGGATCAGAGATGCAGAAATACACATCATTTCAATCTCACGAAAACGAAGTACGATATTTGTTAACAAATGATGAAGGAGTTTTGTCACTTACTCATAATGAGATACGATTCACAAAAAGACATGGAATAAAATTATTTAGCCTAAGGTATTGTGCAGACTGTTTATTGGAACAACACATTCAGTCATTTAATGATCTGCTTGCATTTGAGGATGAACAATGTACAAAATGATTTAGTTTAAAATAATATTGATGCTATTTATTAGAACAGCATCTGCAGTCTTTCAATGATCTTGTTTGCTATGGAGTTCAAACATTGAATGAAATTATTTAGTTTGAAATATTTTGGCACTATTTACCAGAACAACACCAACAGTCTTCAAACGTTTGCATGCATTTGTCGCAAATTCTCATATCTTAAATTGTGAAAGTTAGTTCCTAATCACGGGGGGGACACCGTCTTAAAAAACTGGGGGTGTTCTGGATTCTGGCACTGACTTCTTGTAGTGTTTTTATTTGATATAAAAGCCTGCACCGACTCTTTTTGCCCGCCATTTTTTGGGCTTAAGAACAATTATCGTCTACATGTCATTGACTTTTTTATCTACCCAGTAACTCAAATATGACGGATATGCAGTGTATGCTTCAGCAAGATGACTCAACAATACTTGTAAGAAAAGCCTGCACCGACTCTTTTTGCCCGCCATTTTATGCGCTTAAGCACAATTATCGTCTACATGACATTGACTTTTTTATCTACGCAGTGGTTCAAATATGACGGATATGCAGTGTATGCTTCAGAAAGACGACTCAACAATATTATAAGAAAAGCCTGCACCGACTCTTTTTGCCCGCCGTTTTTTGCGCTTAAGAACAATTATCGTCTACATGACATTGACTTTTTTATCTACGCAGTGGTTCAAATATGACGGATATGCAGTGTATGCTTCAGAAAGACGACTCAACAGTACTTATAGCTGGACATCAGAATGAGATATTCGAATTGGATCTCCATCGTCACAAGATTGTAAAAGAAGTATGAAAGCCTAACTTGCTTTGTTTTCGTCTTTTTCTCTGTTTCATCTAATGCATTATAAAATAACGTGATAAAACGCGTGCGCAGGTTGGCCTCTAGCTGAATGGATTTGTAGTAATCTGCGCAAACCGATCTGAGCTAAATCCATTAAATTTATCAAAGAGAATCAGCAAATCAACCATGAATACATGTTAGAGGAAAATGAAAACATTTGTTTTAATTTTATCTGTTTCGCATTATTAATATTTTATAAAAGAAATGTAAGATGTTTTTTGTATTTACACTGGCTTATGTAAACCTTGGAGATGTTTGTCAGAACTCTCGAGCATGCGCAAATCCTGACCATGCATTGATCCGCTTTCATGTTCTCCCAAAGCTCTCCACGGTTTTCATGAGCCTCTCGAAACATCGTTTATTTGACTTGTTGTTTTTCGAGATCAGGGATTGGTTGTGGCGTCCAATTACCAATGGGCAGCACAATCACTTCCTTGTTGCCATGGAGACGTAAGTAGCGCATCGACGTAGCCAACCCTAAAGTTCGGTCGTGCTATCGAAATAAAATGGTTTTTCCCTGAAAGGACGCCCCTCGAAGGAAACCCTTTTCGAAAGTATTCGCCATTTTTATAGAACTTTACTACATTTATACTTTTATCCAAATAAACATTCTGTACATTCATGTACACTTAACTACTGCACCTATACGTACCTTTAAGCACATTGAAAAATACCGTGACAACTGGAGTTGAAGATGCTTGAAAATGCAACTTGAAACTAAGCGTCCTCCAAGACTAAACGCCTCCCGAAAGTAGCCGTCTTTTGAGGCCTCTAATATAGAAGATAGCTGCTTTCGAGAATCGACGGTGTTTCGGTTTTCACTATTAAATACATATGTATGTGCATAATGCTAATGATCTGAATGTATTTCTTTCCGTAGCTTTGCACTTTCCAAGACAAATTAAGGATTGATCACGAATACTTAGCTCAACGTAATGTTTTTATCAAACACAATCATTTTCTATTGCCATTTTAGTATTTGGTTGAACCTGGAACGTGTATCATGAAAGTTTCATCAAGATATCTTTGCTGTGGCGACACCAGTGGAAAGGTTCTTGTTTATTTCATTGATATTTTTTAATGCTTACCGAATGAAAAGCAAGACCCCTGAACACGGGCGGTAATTGCACGTTGACTGCATGGGGCCATTAAAATGAATAGGCTACTTCCCGCCAAAATTTGTAGCCAGCACTTTAACTAGTCCCAGTCTTTCCACGCACGGCCCAAAGAAAGTTCATTTACGACGATAAGCTAGAATACAGCACACGCTTGTCTGTGGGTAGAATTTGGCTTCATGCAAACACAGGCATGTTTTCCTCCAGTTATGTATTTAATTCATGGTGGGGAGACAAAATTCATATATTTAACCATGCCAGGCTGATTTCCTTCAAAAGTTGCCTGATTGTTTTCAAAAGAAATAAGCCAGGCATAGCACAATGTATGAATGTTCCACCACCCCCCACAATTAACATACGATGGACACCTATCGGCCATTTAGATCTAGACTAAATTGTGTACGCTGTACTTGTTTTAAAATGTTTTGCAACTTTGTCGATTTTTTCATGAATACGATGTCATGGCTAAGATTGTGATTCAGAATCAATCACTGTGTATTTGGAGTTACCTAGCGATGCCGGTCGTTTTCTATTGGTTTTTGACTTGAAGTTTATTGATGAGTGCCGGTTTTTGATTTGTAGCTGGTCGTTTTCTATTGGTTTTTGAGTTGAAGTTTATTGATGAGTGCTGGTTTTTGATTTGTATTTATAGATTCGGTTAAGGGATCCGAAAAGTTTGAATTGTGAGCACGTTTTCTCTGCTCATTCAGGAGCGTTGTCCGATTTCGATGTCTTGGGCAATACATTGATCACATGCGGTTTTTCGTCAAGGTACTGAATATGTTATTTCGGTCCCCCACCTCTAAAACCGAGTACGTCTCTCTTCTCCCCTCTGCCTCTCTCCAGTTCCTTTACTCCCTTCTTCACCTCCTTGTTCTCCTTTCACTGAGAGTGTGCCCTCTTTCCTTCTTCACTCTTTGCTCTATTCCTGATTCCTTTTTTCTCCGATTTTTCCTTCTGCTTAAATTGTTTCTCTATTCTTTCTCACTTTGTCCTTCATTTCTGTTCTTCCTTTTCTTTTGTCCTATCACTGAGCATGTCTCTCTATCTTCTTCCTGAATCCTTTGCCTCTATTCCTTCTCTTTTCACCAGTTACTCCACCTTGCTTTGTATGGCACAATTTTAAACTGCTCTGCTTGCCCTTCAACTTTCTTATGCATTTCTATAATCTTTTAGGCATCATTTGGCAGTTGACTGCTTTCTAATGATGTACGACATAAGAATGCTACGAAGCCTGCCTCCCATACAGGTTTCTAGCCTACAATAGATTTACGTAGTTATTTTCAATGCTATTTATGTTTTACCCAAGTGTTCATGTAAAGTGTTCATGTATTAACTATGTTTTCTATAGACTCCGATGTTAGAGCCATTTATGCT